GTGCCATTTCCTAACCTGGAAATGAGCTCTTGGGCAGCGATGTCTCAGCTCACCAGCGCCCCCTCCTGTTGGATGAGCCACAGGACAGGACAGGTCCAGAAAGGAATGTCATTTTAGGGAAGAAGAATCCACCCAGAAGAAGGAGGATGTCTGATCAGGAGACCCTACAGAGGGAGGGACCAAAGGAATCTTGAAGATCCAGTCTGGCCCTAGAGACCACGGGGCAGCATCTCACAAGTCCCTTATGAAACTCCTCCAAAACCAGGGCTCCAAGTTTGCAGAATTCTGCCTACTGTATCTCCTCTTACAGTTTCCTGATGCATTTTAGCAGATCAAAGTCATCAAGAAGTCCTGCAACAAAGAAACTAATTTAGCTTTCCCAAAAATCTGTGACCACAGAGTCCTTTTACAAAGAAAGCCCATTAACATTTCTTGGAAATAACGTTCCATTGGAACCACTGCTGAAGAGGACCCATACGTGAGGAGGAGGGCTGGGCTGCCCCAGGATCAGTCTGGAGAAGGGGGGAGTTTGATGGTCCTCTTGGCTTGGTTTCCATGTTGGGGCCTCAGGAGTTTGGAGCTCTCTCCCTCTCAGAGTCCTGCTGGCTGAGCTAAGATGATGATAATGATGGCAGTAGCTTAGTGCTTACTCTCTGCCAGGTATGGTTAAGCAAAGCGTTTGATGTATTCACTCATTTCATTCTCACAACAGTCTATAGGGTAGGTCCAGGTTTTTAGATATAAAAATTTAGATATAAAAAACTAAGTTGTCGCTGAAACCGGTTTGGCTCAGTGGATAGAGCGTCGGCCTGCGGACTGAAAGGTCCCAGGTTTGATTCTGGTCAAGGGCATGTACCTTGGTTGCGGGCACCTCCCCAGTGGGGGGTGTGCAGGAGGCAGCTGATCGATGTTTCTCTCTCATCGATGTTTCTAACTATCTCTCTCCCTTCCTCTCTGTAAAAAATCAATAAAATATATTTTTTTAAAAACCAAAAAACTAAGTTGAGCCCGGCCAGCGTGGCTCAGTGGTTGAGCGTCAACCTATGAACCAGGAGGTCACAGTTCAATTCCCAGTAGGGACACATGCCTGGGTTGCGGGCTTGATCCCAATGGGAGGCGTGCGGGAGACGGCTGATCAGATTCTTTCTCATCATTGATGTTTCTGTCTCTCTCTCTCTCCCTTTCCCTTCCTCTCTGAGATCAATAAAAATATATCTATATGTTTTTTAAAAAACACAGTAAGTTGAACTCTCATTCATTGCTGATGGAAACACAAAATTGGTACAGCCACTTTGGAAGACTGCTGTACAGTTTGGGACATGTCTAAATCCAAATAATGCCCACAGGCCCACCCACCGGGTCTCCTGACAGCCTGAGGGAGCTGTTTCTTCAGATAAGAGAGGGTCTCCCTAGAGCAGTGGTTCTCAACCTCCCTAAAGCCGCGACCCTTTGATACAGTTCCTCATGTTGTGGTGACCCCCAATTCCATTGTTACAAGTTGAACATAATTAAAGCATAGTGATTAATCACAAAAACAATATGTAATTATATATGTGTTTCTGATGGTCTTAGGCGACCCCTGTGAAAGGGTCATTCGCCCCCCAAAGGGGTCGCGACCCACAGGTTGAGAACCGCTGCCCTAGAGGACAAAGGGAAGGACTCGCTTGTTTCTGAGGTTCTCCAGAGGCAGGCGCTGATGGGGATCAGATGTGAGGGAGGGAGGGCCAGTGTGGGGTAGGGACTGAGAGATGGCTGGCTGCCCGCTGCTCCTACAAGGGGGGGGAGGGGGGCACAATAGAAGGGTCCAAGGAATTCATCCTGGAGCAGGAGGCAGCCAAGTTAAGGGCAGCACCGTCCTCATTCCCTTCGCATCTGCTGGCATCTCTTATTCTGACTGTCCCCAGGAGCCCATCAGTGTTGAGGTGGGGACTCCCTCCCAGGGCCAGGAGGGAGCACTGTCCAAAACTGTACAGCAGCCTGTCAGGGGCGGAGGCCTGTGCCCCCAGGTGTGTGGGGAACCACCCTCCTCCACCAGGAGGGTCAGGGAAGATGAGACCTTCAGAGGCCATCCAGGACTTTGTCCAGGGGGCACCCCAGGAATCTCTGTAGGGCCAGAACCAGCCCCCACACTGCTCAGTAGAGAGGACCCACCCACCCAGGTCATCTCCCCGTTCCCAATCCAGCCCAGCTTTGCAGCCAGCCTCCCCTAGGAACCTGGAGGAAAGGTGAGGCATGACTATTTCTTAACTTACTCTTCTGATTGCTTTCAGGCCCCACCACACGGTCACCTTGACTGGCCGTCGCCCCAATGAGGAGGTGGTGTTCTTGAGGGCAGGCAAACAGGCCCTGGTGTGTCCGGGCTCCAGGAAAAGGGAACTGCACTCCCCATCCCCACTTCACCCGCACCTCCACTGCAAAGCCAGCATTGAGCCTGGGGCCCCTAGTCTGGGTCTCATATGGGTCTTTGTGCCCTGGGTGGCCTGGTCAGCTGCCCTGTTTTCCCCCAGCCATACCTTGGGTGCCCTCACCCAATGCCGCCACTGGGCTGGGCTGGGCTTATCTGTCTTCCTGGTGTTGACGCAGATGCTCCTGGGCCCAGCCCTGCTGGCCCCACAGGCTCCCGGCCAGGCCAGGGCGCAGGTCCCACTGCTGTCCTCCAGGAAGGGATCAATCAGGGCTCTCATGCCCTCCTGGGCAGCGGTGTGCCTGAGGGCTGGGCCTGAGCCGACAGGGCTGGTTACATGACTGGTCCTGCTGCCCACTCCCAGGACCTTCCTGTTCTCTCCTGCTCCCTCACCCCAGGGGCTTATTCTGGCCCAGGGGGAGCTTCTTGTCTCCCCGGACACTGAGGATCCCCAACCTTAACCTCTCCAGCCACTGGGAGTGAGTGCAGTCGCCTGGAACCTCTGCCGGCATCAAAATGCCTATTCGGAACCACCGGGGAGTTGTGCGTTGTCACGTGGATGCCACTAGGGGGCTGCCTCTCCCCACCCTTCTTCTGTCCTCCAGGCCCCTCTGAACCGCAAGCCCTCTCCCACTTCCACCTCATGGAAGGTGCCTGGTGCCTGGTGGGTCGGATGGGAACTTGCTTTCCCAGGCCGGGCTGGGTCAGCCTGGCCGTTTCCTGGCTAGAAGCTGGAGGACATACTGTTTCGTTGTGGACCTTGAGTTTGTTGCATTTGGACCTTGAGTCCTGACTCCTTCCCTCCCCGCGTTTCTGATAGTCGTGCTTCTTGCAATTTGTTTATTCTATTTCTCCGACCCAGGCCGCTTCACAGCCCGAAGCCTGTGGCTTACTCTTCTGATTGCTTTCAGGCCCCGCCACACGGTCGCCTTGAATCTCGTTTCAGGACCCACTGGACGGGTTTCGCCGTTTTTGAACCTGAATCTTCAATTTTCTGAGTTTTCACCCTGGACTTGCAGGAATGCAGGCTTACGTAATGTGTTGCTTTTCTATTGCTGCGGTAACTCTCTTTGTGGCCTAAAACAGCACAGGTTTATTTCCTTAAAGTTTGTAGGCTAGAATTCTGACAAGCATCTCACTAAAACCATGGCATCAGCCTGGCTGGTTTGGCTCAGTGGGTAGAGTGTCGGCCTGCGGACTGAAGGGTCCCAGGTTCGATTCCAGTCAAGGGCACGTGCCTGGGTTGTGGGCTCCATCCCCAGTGGGGGACTTGCAGGAGCCAGCCGATCCACCATGATTCTCACTCATTGTGGATGGATGTTTCTATCTCTCTCCCTCTTCCTTCCTCTCTGAAATCAATAAAAATGTATTTTTTTAAAGAATTTATTAACCCCCTCCCCCCCCCCCCAAAAAAAAAACCCCACGGCATCAGCACGGCTGCATTCCTATCTGGAGAAACCATTACCTCACCTTTTCCAGCTCCTGGGGCTGCCCTCAGTCCTTGGCTTGTGCCCCTTCTCCGTCTTCAAAGCCAGCAATAGTGGGTTGTGTCCTTTTCCTATCACATCGTTCGGCCTTCCTCTTCCGACTCCTTCCGGTTTTAAGGACACTTTTACACGGGGCTCACCCGGATAATCCAGGAAAACCTCCCATCTCACGCCCTTCATTTAATCACATCAGCAGAATCCCATGGCGGCCAAGAGAGACGTGCCCACACCCAGCATCCTTGTCTCCCAGGGGCCCAAGCTGGGGCACATTCCCTGTGGCTTCTCAGCGGGCTCCAGCGGGACTATGCCTCAGCTGCTCACACAGCAACTTCTTCTTTCGGGCAAATGTCATTGGGTTCCTCTCTCTCTGCCTTGGTTCCCCCACTTCCCACTATAGCAGTGGTTCTCAACCTTCCTCATGCCGCGACCCTTTAATACAGTTCCTCATGTTGGGGTGACCCCCAATTTCATGGTTACAAATTGAACATAATTAAAGCACAGTGATTAATCACAAAAACAATATGTAATTATATGTGTGTTTTCCGATGGCCTTAGGCGACCCCTGTGAAAGGGTCGTTCGACCGCCAAAGGGGTCGCGACCCACAGGTTGAGAACCGCTGCACTCGAGCTTTTTGGTATCACCTCCCAAATAAATTACCTGTACCCCAGCCCGGATCCCAAGTCAGCATCTGGGGGGCCGCATTAAGACCAGGAGCACCTGACATCTGTGTGATGGGGCCACCAACATGAGCACTGGGGTGTTTGGGGGTGTTTCCTCCACAATACCCCACTCCAGTCTTCCTGGCACCCAGGTACCCTGGTGCTACTAATGTCCTTCCATAAATTATCTTTCTGATTGAACTAACCTGAGCGGGTTCTGTTTGCAACCCAAACCTGTAATAGCACAGGCGGGTGGAGAGAGATTTAAGAGTTAGGGAGTGGTCTTGGGGTGGACAGAGCACGAGTGACCATGAGGGTGTCCAGGAAGCCACCTGGAGTCCACAGAATGTTTGGCAGCCACTAGAACATGCAAATGTTTTTATTAGAAACAGGACGGGAGCCTGGGCCTGAGGCAGCAGATGGCCCTGCCTCTCAGGGCTCCGTCGGGCTCAGGCTGGCTGCAGGAGTGGGGCAGTCCGGAGAAGGAGGAGGAGCAGCAGCAGCAGCCAGGGGGATGGCTTGTGAATGCTGCTGCTGGCTATCAGCATCTGCATCCATTTGAAGTGAGTACTGACGTTGGTGTAGACACCGGGTCGGTTGGGCCGACCACAGCCCACTCCCCAGCTCACGACTCCAACCTGATACCACAGCCCTTTCTTTTCACAGGCCAAGGGTCCGCCTGAGTCACCCTGGGGAGCAGAATGCGTGAGCAGGGCCTGGGGCAGGGCAGGAGGGGTTGGCAGAGGTAGGGAGAGCAGGAGGGGCTGTAGAGCTGGGAAAACTGGGTACGAATCCTACTCCTCCCCCAGGAAGCGCCCAAGTTTCTGCATCTGCAAAAGGGGGCCATAGTCTCAACTCCTCAGGTTGCCATGAGGACCAAACGATACAGGTGCCTCTCGGGCCTGGGGCTGGGTTGGTGAGAGACTAGGACCCAGAAGGCTCTGGTTGGGGTGGGGAGGGACACTCACGAAGCAGGCGTCCCTGCCGCCTTGAGCATGGCCAGCGCAAATCATGTCTCCCCAGATGTTGTAGCGGTAAGAAGGCTGTGTGTACATGAAGTCGCACATGGTGGTGTTTATGATGCCGACCTCCACTTCCTGGAGGCTGTAGGGAGCCGGCAGGTCTACAGAGGAGTTGAAAGACAGAAAGAGAGAGCGTCCTGAGACTCCCCTCTGCCACCTGGTTGGGAGGGACGGGGTAGGTTACCGGGCAGGGGCAGGGTCCCTGGGGCATCCATGGTGCCTTGACGAGTCCTCTACTCAGGCCTGGCATCCAGCACCTCATGGGTGATGAGCAATATCACAGAAGGACCCAATAACTGGACAAGCCGTTACAGCTGCTCCCGGCTTCCCTACGTGCAACATGCAGATGACAGCAGTGAAGAGCGACCTTAGCATCCACGGGGGAGGCGGGTAACGCAGCTGAGATGTTTTAGGATTAACACATGTCAGGGCCTGAGCCAAGAGCTCCCACAGCCCCCCCAGGCTGCAGCACAGGCATGACCCACTTTCAGGAAAGATGCACCCAGAATTGGCAGAGCCTGGCATGAAGCCAGGTCTATCCAATTCCTAAGTCTGGGCTGGGATTACCTTTTCCTGCAGGGGATGGTGACCACAATAACACCAAAAGCTGATGTGTCAGCAGAGCCTCCCATCTGCCGGGCACTCTGCTACCCTCTGTATGAATGCTTGTAAACCTCCGGGCCACCCTATGAGGTGGGAACTATTGTTACCCCATTGGACAGGCGAGGAAGCTGAGGCACAGTTAGGTGAAGTGCTTACACAAGATCTTCCAGCGAGCGCGTGGCAGAGCTAAGGTTCACATCAGGCAGGGCTCCGCGAGTCACCCGCCACCTGTGACAATGAGGTGGCGCCTAGGGCTGGATGTGATTACCTGCCGGCCTTGGGCCAGGGAGGGAGGGGACAGTCTGCCTGGCTGGGCCTCCCTGCAGCCCTTTGGAGCCAGGGAGGTGGATGGCAGGGGCACTTTATCCAGCCCCTTCTACAGGAAAGGAAAGGACCCCAACTCTAGAGGGAGGCAAGCCTAGTGTTGACTTCTCTATCCCCTCTGCCAATTCCAGATGTGTGACCACACAGACAGCCCTGGCTGCTCCAATGACCCCTTCTGGGGTCTTGGGCAATTTCCATTCCCTTGTCAGCTTGCTCATCTGTGAAGTGGGTATAGATGTTCCCAGCCTCATTTGCAGGTAAGCGTCTGAGGGAAGATAGATGGTACCCTGCTCACTCCTGAGTCCCTAGAGCCTAGAACAGTGCCTGGCACAGTGTGCAGGCAGGAGCTTCTGCTGTTATTATTACTACTAGAAGCCCGGTGCACAAAAATTTGTGCACTGGCCGGGGGGGGGGGGGGGTAAGGTCCCTCACCCAACCTATGCCCTCTCACAGTCTGGGACCCCTCGGGAGATAACCACCTACTGGCTTAGGCCCGCACCCCTGGTAGGAGATAGCACGCCCAATCCCATGGTGTCTGCCCCATCTCCTCCTGTTGCAGATGGCAGGCCCGGATCCCGCGCTGGGTCGGGCGGCCGCTCAGATCGTGCTACCGCCTGCCCCACCCTGAACAGGGCAGGCTTGGATCTTGTGCTGGGGCGGCCAGCTGCTAGGGATCGCGCTGCCGCCAGCCCCAGGTGGGGCGGGGCAGTAGGATCTGCCTGCAGTATGCAAATTAGCCACCGTATTTGTTGGCAGTTAATTTGCATATCATGCTGATTAGCCAATGGGAGGCATAGCAAAGGTATGGTCAATTACCATGTTTGTCTATTATTAGATAGGATTGTTAAGGGTGAGGCAGGAATGGGCCAGGCCAGGGAGCAGTGTAAGGGGCAGTCCAGGTGGAGGGCCTATGCCTCCCCTACCCCAGGGCACCTTGGGGGAGGTTGTGCCCAGCGGTTTCAGGGGATTCGTGGTGAGAGATAAGCAGATGGTGGCTGACTACTGACTCAAAGACCTCCTGCAGAGCCAAGGCTGGAGGATAGCTTGACATTTTGAGGATAGAGAAATGGGCTCAGCATTCCAGGAGAGCAGGCCAATGTGGATAGATAAAGAAGGCAGGGAGGAGACAGAGCGGGGAGGTTGGATGGCTGGGGGAGGGGTGAGCACCAGGGTGGGGCCTTTTTGTCAGGCCCTCCCACCAACACCCCTGCACGCTGGGAGGATAGCCTGGGCCAAGCTGGTCTCCCTCTCACCACTAGCTTCTGGCTCAGTCTCTGGGGGGAAGAGGAACCTGAGTGTGGGCACAGCAAGTCCTGCCCTTTCAGGGGGAGCAGGAGTGCACAGCGGGTGAGGAGAGAATGCTGACCAGGCCCACAGAGGGGCCCAGCTGGTGCAGCTAGAACAGGGGGTGAAGGATCATGCCCCTGCTCCCCTGCCCTAAACCCCCCACCTGTCCCCCACCTCACCCTCATTTTCTTGGATGTCCCCCCAGCCGGTCACCCAGCAGTCACTCCGGTTCTGGAACTCATCAGAAGAGGCGAGGACACAGATGGGCTGGATGTACTTAGTGTAGGTGACAGGCGAGGCCAGCCTCAGCATGGCAATGTCAAAGGCTGACGCCCCCAGATACCTGGGGCTCATAACAATCTCCTCCACCTGGTAACGGTTGCGGTAGGCCTGCAGGTTCCAGATAGATGGCGCGGCAGACAGCTCACCAAACTGGACTGTCCACATGCCCGGGCTAGTGTTCCTGGCAGAGGGGAGAGAGCAGTCAGGAGGCCTTACCAGAGGGTCAGCCACCTGAGCACACCTGGGGCCTGCTCCCAAGAGTGGTGAGCTCAGCCGCTGTGGCTCCGTGGCTGAGCATAGACCTATGAACCAGGAGTCATGGTTCGATTCCCGGTCAGGGCACATGCCCGGGTTACAGGCTCGATCCCCAGTGGGAGGGTGTACAGGAGGCAGCTGATCAATGATGCACTCTAATAAGTGATGTTTCTATCCCTCTCCCTTCCTCTCTCTGAAATCATTAGAAACATTAAAATAAAAACGAGTGGTGAGAGGTTGTCCAGAGAGGTTGCAACCCAAATCCCAAAAACTGGGAACTTGGGGGTGGTGATGGGGCAGGAGTGATCTGGCCAGTCACTCAACCAGCCTGTCACCTCTCACAGCCTCGAACGAGAGCGAGCAGACGCACAGATGCCCAAGCGGACACTCAGCAGAGTGAGGTCAGAACGGCCTCCAGGGCCCTAGCCGGTTTGGCTCAGTGGATAGAGCGTTGGTCCCGGGTTCGATTCCCGTCAAGGGCACGTACCTTGGTTGCAGGCTTCTCCCCGGCTGGGCCCTGGTCGGGGCTCGTGCAGGAGGCAACTTATCAATGTGTTTCTCTCACATCAATGTTTCTCTCTGTCTTTCTCTCTCTCCCCCTAAAAATCAATGGGAAATGTCCTCAGGTGAGGATTACAACAAAACAAAACAGCCTCTGGGGCCACTGTTGCCCAGGCCAGGTTCTGTGCCCAGCACTCACCCCTCGCTCATTCCCCGCCCCTGTGGCGCACCTCCACTGGGAGGTGGGAGGAGGAAGGCGAAGGCTAGGATGCCATTTGGGGAGAAGAGAACAAGAAAGAGAACAGAACAAGACACGAATGTGCAGGAGAATGTTCTGGAAGACCCTTCTGGGAAAAACTGAAGAGTCCCCAGCAGGGCCACCTGCAGTGGGGCCAGGGTTCAGAAGAACACGAGGGTCACATCGTATGCGGAGAGGGTGGTGCAGGCACGGGGTCGGGGTCCGGTTCTCCGAACCACAACCCCCGGGCTCACCTTTCAAAGCAGTGCGCGGCCGAGAGCACCCAGCGCCGGTTGAGCAGGCTCGCCCCGCAGGAGTGGTAACCCCAGAGGCGCAGGCTGCCCTGCCAGGGCCAGCGCCCAATCGTCGCGTCCTTTCCGCCCACCACACGCGTCCCCACGGCCCGGCGGCCACAGGGCCCTGGGATGGACAGACCGAACGGGACTGAGCTGCAGGACACAGGCCCGTCAGCCCGCCCCGGCCACCCGGGAGCGCGCAGGGCAGGGCAGGGGTTCCCCGGACACCGCGTGCAGCCTGGGGTCACGCGGCGGAGGGAGAAGAGGACGCTGGGGACCCTCCCCCCACTCGGTCTGCAGGCGCCCGCCCCTCCCCCCAGGGGCCCATCAGTTACATGTGAGGAACGACGAGTTCTCGAAACCTGGGGTGAGAGAGACGAAAAGGTGAGGCGCCCTGTGCACTGCGGCCCAGGTGTGCGGAGCAGGGAAGCGAGCGCCCTGGGCGCCTTACCTGCAAACAGCGTGTCATGTTCCGGCCACCCTGCGGGGAGGCGAGAAGGTGAGCGCCCCTCGGCCTCCAGGCTCCCCACCCCGCCCCACCGCCCCGAGGTCGCCGGCATCTCACCCAGCTCGTCGAGTTCAACTCGCACCAACAGCTGCACCAGCAGCTGCACCGCCACCGCCACCGCCGCCGCCGGCGCGCCCATGGCCTCCTCTCCCGCCGCTTGGCGCCCCCTCCGCTTCTGGCTGCTCCTGGGCCGGCGCAGGCGCCCCCTGGGGGAGCGGGAAGCCCGGCTGCCACCTTCTCCAAGCTTGACCTTGCTGGGTCAAAGGGCATTGGGGAACACTGACCTTTCTGACCTTACAGCGCCCAGCTTTGAGTTTCTCCTGGGCGGGGTCAACCACACCCCCTTGATGTGGCCCAGGAACCGATGCACTTAAACCAGTGGTTCTCAACCTCCCTAGTGCCGCGACCCTTCAATACAGTTCCTCATGTTGTGGTGACCCCCCATTTCATGGTTACAAATTGAACATAATTAAAGCATAGTGATGAATCACAAAAAAATATGTAATTATATATGTGTTTTCCGATGGTCTTAGGCGACCCCTGTGAAAGGGTCGTTCGAACCCCAAAGGGGTCGCGACCCACAGGTTGAGAACCGCTGAGTCCTAAACCATCCCCTTCTTGTCTGCAAACTCTGGGGTCCCGGCTGCCCTGCTTGCTGCCCACTCCTAGGAAGGAGCAAGGACCTGGCCCACATCCAGGGCGCCAGGAAAGCACTAACAGTTCCACTGAGGCCTGTCCGGCAGGGTGGTTAGGCTGGTCCAGGAAGGCGAGATCCTTCACAAGACTTGCCTTGGGACATGATGGTCCAGGCAGGGGTGGGCAAACTTTCTGACTCGAGGGCCACAATGGGTTCTTAAACTGGACCGGAGGCCGGAACAAAAGCATGGACGGAGTGTTTGTGTGAACTAATATAAATTCAAAGTAAACATCATTACATAAAAGGGTACGGTCTTTTTTTTTTTTTTTTTTTTAGTTTTATTCATTTCAAACGGGCGGATCCGGCCGGCGGGCCGCGGTTTGCCCATGGCTGGTCCAGGGCCTAGTCTCTTCCTGAGGAGGCAGACAGGCTAGTCCCGCCTGCTCAGGCTGCCCGCTGGTGGCAGGCCTCCGCCCCTCCCCCCCCTCCTCTTCCTCCTCTGGATTAAATCTTGAAAGGTGGAAAGGATCTTTCAAACACATTCCTGGGGTGCTGGGGTAAGGAAATCACCGACATGGGAGCGAGAGATACCCCAGCGGTGTCCATCCCAGTGTCCCTGTGACCAGTGACTGCAGGGGGGTCCCAGGAAGGCTGTGCCTGCCTGGTAGCGCTCTATGCCCAGGCACCACCAGAGACACTGTGGGATTCACAATGATGAGTGACTCAGCACTGGCTTCTGGGAGTCCCTCCAAGCAGGCACTCCGCCAACAGCTGCACCAGCAGCAGTGCCCCAACCCGAGTGCCCGTGGACTCCAAGGCAGGGGCCACGGAGGGTAGAGGGTAGAGTGTCCTGGGCATGCTCCCCAGAGGAAGAGGTGAGAGCTATTGAAAGGTGTGACCACTCCAGTGGTTCTCAACCTTCGGCCCTTACAGTGCTCCTGGGCACAGGGACCCTGGCCTCTTCCACATCCTTGGCAAGACCCTCAGGCCTTCCCTCCTCTGCCCAGGCCCTGGCATCACAGCACCAGCCTTCTCACCCCCTATGGGGCACTTACTCTGTGCTGGCACTCTGCCAACCATGCCACATGCCTCTTGCCTGATTTCCCAGGAGCTACTGTGAACCCTTCCTACAGCAGAGGAAGTGAGACTCTGATGTTTGAAGGACTTGCTCAAAGCCCTACAGGTGGCAAAGCCAGATAAATCTACTCCGTGCTGTGTGTAGTGCCCAGCACCCCTGAGAGGGGTAAGAAGTTGGGGAGCAGAACTGCAGACTCTGGGGTACTTCCCACTTTGTACCCTCAAGCATTCATTTTCAACCCGGGGCTCTTGAGGGCCCGAGGTGGGCCCAGGATGTCTGGGTTCTGAGGAGGGACCCTTTATTCAAGGAGGTGGAGCAGCTGGAGGAGACAGGGATTCTCAACCTGAACGACCCCCAGTGATATTCTCCTCTGAATACAAGTGCCCCCTGCCCTGGCCTGCAGCTGTGACCCTGGCCCCTCCGTCAGAGGCCTTGCAGAGGTTGTGTGGGCCAGAAAGGAGAGCCGACCAGCCTTGGGCGCTAAGCGGAAGGGAGGATGTGGGAGACTTTTCCTGATTCCTAAGTTTTTCCCATCCTTCCGATGGCCCCCCAATTCCCATCAACCTAACCTCCTGGTAGTCCCCCCTCTAAGAGCTTATTACCCCTGGGGGCACAGTGATTCTTCACAGCCCCAAATGCTTGCTTTAGGCTGAAATCATGCTCAGTGAGTACCCCAGTGTTATTGCTTTTTCCCTCTACCCGATCTCTTGATTTCTGAGAAAAAAATGTTGATTCATTTGTTTCTTGAGTATTTAGAACTTTTTTTTTCTTTATGTATTTCAAGGCTCTGTTGACAGGGGCATAAAGACCCATGTCTCTTACATCTTTTCAGGGGCTTGTAACTTTTATCAAGGTAAAACACCCCTACCTCTAGTTCATTGGGTTAGCCCTGGGTTCTATTTTACCTGAAATGATCTGATATGTGATACTACACACAGCCACTTTCATATTGTTTGCCATTTCTTCACCAATGTATTTCTTTCAATCAAGACAAAATGAAAAGAAAACATTTATGATTCCAGAGAGGCAAGTCCCTAGTGGGGACTCGAGCCCAGAGGGTTCTTGGCTACGGGCAGGAAAGAATTCAGGATGCGAGCCAGACAAGAGGTCGAAGTAGGAAAGCAGGTTTTATTGAACAGAGAGGACAAGCAAGAAAGGCCACTCCACACACAGAGTGGCAGACTCCCCTCACAAGAGCAGGAAGAGAGACCCCAGCCATCTCTAGAGGTGGAGCTTATATGTTTGTAGTTTCTGTGGAAAATGGCTGTATGGGGAAATAGAGAATGGAAAAGAAAAAAACACACCATTGGGATTAACCTTCACCTCTACAAGGTGTATTTTGTGGTCTGTTTTCCCTTTATGGGACTGGTAAGCGATAAGGTATGAGTGAGTAGCTATTAATCAGTCTATGCAGGAATTGTCTTTGTCCGGAGTCTCTTACTGGTCTGCTTCCAGCTTCAGTCAGTCAGCTGAGTTCCATGTCGGACAGCACGGAGCAGGCCCGGTCTTAACTCTGACGTTAGCTGATTTGTATAGTTCCCATGCCCCTTTTCTCTATTACTTTGAAATTACAAAAAAATTAAATGTCTTATCCTACTTGCCCTTATGGAAATATACTTGCTAGAATACTTGTAAAGGTAGTAAACTAATTGCATGAACAGTATTATCAATTTTTGTGACTACAAAAATGGTTTTTATGATTCATTGATACCTGATGAGGCCGAAGACACATCCTGGCTTAGTTGAGATGGTTTGAGGACTCCTAGATTATCAGAATTATGAAAGAGCCAGCTCATTTAATAAGAAACCTGTCTTAAAGACATCACAACAGCCCTTACCGTAATCATCAGTGAGTTTCTTAGAACCACATGCACTCAATAATCCTTTATTGTGCTCACAGGTATCAGGTCACCTGCAAAGTGTGATATTGAGGAGGCAAAACATTCACAGCCTAAGAACTATTTTCTGAATGTTTGTGTCTCCCTACTCCCCCAAATTCATAGCTTGAAATCCTAACTCCCAGAGTGATGGTGCTCAGAGGCAGGCCTTTGGGAGGTGATTTGGTTATGAGACCAGAGCTCTCGGGAATGGCATTAGAACCCTTATAAAAGGGACCCCAGAGAACCCCTCCCCTCTTCTCCATGTGAGGACACAGAGAGAAGGCAGTAGCTATGCCCCATGAAGTGGGCTCTCAGCAGCCACTGAATCTGCTGGCGCCGTAATCTCAGAACTCCAGCCCAGGAACTGAGAGAAACAAATGTTTGTGGTTGATAAGCTATAGCAGCCCAAATGTACTAGGACACCCAGCCAAGCACTGGACTCAGAAATGTTTTTCCCACGTTGTGTACAGTACATTCCCTGTTTCTGCAGAAGATACAGAATGGAGGAGATACTTCTTTATTCATACTTACATAATCTGGGGTAGTTCATACGGCTGTAGGCTGATACCTGGGGTATATGGAATCAACACCTGCCTTTCTAGTGATCTGCTGATGGGGATTTTACAACCCAAAGTCAAATCGCCTTCTGTCACCATATATTTGACACCCTTTACCCTTTACTACCCTCTCATCCCCCTTCCCTCTGGTAACCACCATACTGTTATCTGTGTCTATAAAACCAATTTTAGATCCCTCCATGTCTTTACATTCTTCTCTCATGTAACCTGCCTTTTTAAATTTTTGCTCTAAGTTATGATCATATTTCTCTACCATACCTTCAAGTTTGCCAATTCTTTCTTTAGCAATGTCCATTTTATTATTCAGCCCTTTGTCTAAAACGTTGCACTTCAGCAATATTTTAAATTTTCAACACTCTTTCTTGTTCTCTGACTGCTCTTTTCCCATATATTCTTGTTTCATGAAAATCTCCAACATTTCTTAATCCTGGGTTGCTGTGCAGTAAAAGGTTAACTGACCAGATCTAGGAATATCCAAACCTGCACAGTTCAAAGGAAGGACTGGCCCTTGACCGGCTCCTGGGAAGTGACCTCTGAGACCTTGGAATGTCCTGCCTGAAAAGAGGGTCTCTGTAGGCATGGAGTCCTGTGCCACTCCAGATAGCCGATGCCAACAATGTGACATGTGGTGGGGCCTTGGGTCACATTTCCTCAGTTGGACCTCTGGCCCAGCTGGAGTCTGAGCGTAAAGGTCACTTACATGGGTACTCCATGCCTATGTGATGGAACCCCAATAAAAACTTCAGACACCAAGGTTCAGGGAGCTTCCCTGGTTGGCAATACTTCACGTGTGTTGTCACAAATCGTTGCCGGGAGAACTCAGCACATCCGACTCCGCTGAGAGGGGACAGCAGGAAACCTGCCCCTGCTCTCTCCTGGATTCCGTCCTCTGTGCCGTTTGCACTTGTTGGTGTTATCTCGTTCCTTTCACTGGAATGAACCAGGAGTGTAATAGCTTTTCTGAGTTCTGTGATTCCTTCTCGTGAACCATTGACTCTGAAGGTGGTGCTGTGGGCCCGGCTTGGTTGTCCCTTCATCTCTACGATGGAAGAGCCCATTTGTTGACGTTGGTGCCCTGCAACATTGCCCACAAGAAAGGAAAGCTGCCTGTAGACTCTGTGGGGTTGGTTGGGGCCTGTTACAGAACAGCAAGCAGAGTGGGAGGCTGAGAGCTCTCCAGTGGTCAGAATCGGGCCAGCTTTTACCCGGTGGGTCCGGTACAGGACCATCACTGTTAACAGAGGTGACTCAGTGCGGGGACCCCGATGGGCACTCCGTGAGGACTTGTTGGTGTGCTCTCATGGGAGCCATGGTCCTTCCTAGAAGGAAGGATGAGTAGAAAAGGGGACAGCGAAGGAGGCAGCCAAGATCCCAGAGTTCAGACAGGAAAGGGACCTGGGGTGGGGGTGGGGTTTGGGGGGTGGCGTGGGGGGGGGGAGTCTACTAGTTCCTGGGTCATATTATCAAGGGGTGTAATTGGGGACCCAGCCCCAGGGGAAACTCAAAGCTGGGGCGCTGTGAGGCCTGATGTTCCCAAAGCCCTTGGAGCCAGAGAGGTCAAGCTGGTCAACAGCGCCAGGGCTGCCGTTGCTCCCTCTCCCCCAGGGGGGCGCCCCAGCGCTGGCCCTGGAGCCCGCAGAGCAGTGGAGGCGTCAAGCCGGGGAGAGGAGGCATGGGCGCTGGAGTCGGGGCGCTGCTGCTGGCACAGCTGTTGGTGAGGGTCGAACTCGAGATGCAGGGTGAGCTCAGGCCGGAGCTAGGGGTGTCAGGGGCAGCAGGGGAGCATGGACACCGAGGGGAGCTCACCTTCTCGCCTCACCCCAGGGTTGCAGGATCAGAACCAGCTGTTTTCAGGTAAGGCGCCCAGGATGCCCAGTTTCCCTGCCCAGGGCACCGGGGCCAGGACGCGAAGGGCGCCATCTCTTTTCATCTCTCTCCCGCCCCAGTTTCAAGAATTGTAGTGGCTGAAGCGTAACTGACGGGCCCCTGGGGGAGGGGCGGGGCCTGCAGGCCGGTGGGAAGGCCCCCCCCCCCCCCCCCCGCGTCCCCTGCTCCCCAGGCTGCAGGGGCCCAGCACGGTTCCCCTGGGGCCGAGGGCGGGCAGGTGGGCCGCATGTCCGTCTGTCCCCCCCAGAGCCTTGTGGCCGCCGGAACGTCCACTCGCTCATAGTGGGCGGAATGGAGTCAGCTCGCGGGCGCTGGCCGTGGCAGGTGAGCCTGCGGCTGCGTCACAAAGGCCACAGATGCGCGGGGAGCCTGCTCAACCGGCGCTGGGTGCTCTCTGCGGCGCACTGCTTCCGGAAGTGAGTCTGCCCCGAGCACGCCTCACACACGTGACCCTCCTGTTCCCTCGAGCCCCAGGCCTCCTGCAGCGGCTCACACCCATCGGAGCTCCCATGGTGCGCCTGCAGGGGACTCTTCAGTTTTTCCCAGAAGGGTCTTCCAGAGCATTCCCCTGCACATTTGTGTGTCTTGTTCTGTTCTCTTTCTTGTTCTCTCCTCCCCAAAAGGCATGACTAGCCTTCACCTTCCTCCTCCCACCTCCCAGTGGAGGGGCGCCACAGCCGGGAGGAATGAGCGAGGGGGTGAGTGCTGGGCACAGAACCTGCCTGGGGCAACTGTGGCCCCTGAGGCTGTCGGGACTCCTCTCTGCTGAGCATCCCACTCAGGCGTCTGTGCATCTGCTCATTCATATTTTTAGGATGGCTCTGAGGGGTGACAGGCTGGTTGAGTGACTAGCCAGTCAGACCACAGGGTGTGGGGGGCACCCTTCTGTCCTACTCCCAGCCCCCAAGTCTCCGGGTTCTGGGGCTTTGGTTGCAGGCTCTCTGGGCTCCCGCCATTTCTCACTGGACACTTTGTCCTGTACGAAGAGCAGCTCCTGGTGTCCAGGATGAGCCCTAGTAGCACCCTGGGCAGTCTCCCCTTTGAGCAGGCCCCAGGTGTGCTCAGGTGGCCCACACTTCGCTAAAGACCCCTAACTGAACCCGGCCGGCATGGCTCAGTGGCTGAACGTTGACCTATGAACCAGGAGCTCATGGTTCGATTCCCAGTCAGGGCACATGCTTGGGTTTCGGTCTCCACCCCCAGTGGAGAGCTTGCAAGAGGCAGCTGATCAATGATTCTCTCTCATCATTGATGTTTCTCTCTCTCTCTCTCTCTCTCTCTCTCTCTCTCTCTCTCTCTCTCTCTCTCTCTCCCCCTGTCCTTTCCTCTCTGAAATCAATAAAAATTTATTAAAAAAGAAAAAGAAAAAAAAAGACCTCTAACTAACTGCTCTCCCCTGTCAGACACAGGGATCCGTCGAATTGGGTGGCCCAGTTTGGTGAGCTGTCTTCCAGGCCGTCTCTCTGGAACTTGGGGGCCATCGCCCACCGTTTCAGCGTGCAGGACATTATCGTGTACCCTCGCTTCAAGGAGTCGCTCAACGACATCGCCTTGCTGAGGCTGACCGCCTCTGTCACCTACAACAAGTACATCCAGCCCATCTGTGTTATGGCCTCCGCCTTCGAATTCCAGAGCCAGAGTAACTGCTGGGTGACCGGCTGGGGGCACATCCGTGAGAATAAAAGTGAGACTGGGGACAGATGGGTGGGAAAGAAGGGGGGCATTATCCTCCTTTTCCAGCTGCCACCTTGGCCGGTGTACAGCGGGGCCCCTCTGTGGGCCTAATCAGCATTCTCTCCCCACCTGCCGTCCACGCCTCCTCCCCCTGACAGAGCAGGACTTTCTGTGCCCACTCAGTTCCTTGCCCTCCCCAGAGACTGAGCCTGAGCCAGCAATGGGCGAGGACCAGCTCCCCCAAGGCCAAATTCCTCAACCTGCTGGGATCTGGATTTTTCAGAAAGGCCTTGGGTGTTGGCTTTTTTTATATATATAATTGAGATTTAATTCACAAACCATGAAATTCACCATTTTAAGTATATACAGTTCAGTGGATTTTAGTATAGTCACAGTTTGCACCATCATCGCCACCTAATTGCAGAACATTTTCATCATCTCAAAATGAAATCCCATAACCACTAAACAGTCCCTCCCCATTACCCACTCCCTCCAGCCCTTAGCAACCACTAACCAGATTTTTAAAAATATCTATGTTTTTATTGATTTGAGAGAGAGAGAGGAAGGGGAAGGGATAGAGAGATAGAAACATCAATCAGCTGCCTTCTGCACGTCCCCTACTGGGGATCGAGCCCAAAACCCGGGTGTGTGCCCTAACTAGGAATCTAACCGGTAATCTCCTGGCTTATGGGTCACCGGTGTGGCTCAATGACTGAGCCACACCAGCTGAGCCACGAACAAGCTTTTTACCTCTATGGGTTATAGATATTTTATAGAAATGAAATCATATAATATGTGACATTTTGTGTTTGGTTTCTTTTACTGAGCATAATATTTTTAAGGTTCATGTAGCGTGAAATCAGAACTTCATTCCTTTTTATGACAGAACAATATTCCATTGTATGGATAAATCATAGTTATTTCTTTATCCATTGATGAACATTTGTGTTGTTTCTTCCTTTTGGGTATTGCAAATAGAGCTGCTATGAACATTAGTATACAAATTATTGTTTGAACGTCCTTTTTCCATTCTTCTGCATATATATTTAGCAGTGCAATTTCTGGATCACATGGTAATTCCATGTTTGACTTTTGAAGAACCAACCATGTTCCACAGCAGCTGCACCATTTTCCATTCCTGTCAACAATAAATGGGGGTAATAATTTCTCTCCATTTTCCTCAACTTGTTCTTTTCCAAAATGTTTTAACTTTTGCCATCCTAGTGGGTGTGAAGTGGAATCTCACTGTGGTTTTGATTTGCATGTCTTTAATGACAGTTATGTTGAGCATCATTGCATGTGTATGATGGCCACTTGTATATCTTTCTTAGAGAAATATTCAAGCCCTTCACCTATTTTAAAATTGAGTTGTCTTTGTTGTTTAATTGTAATCACTTTTTATATATTCTGGATACTAGACCCTTATCAGGTGTATGATGTGCACACATTTTCTCTAATTCTGTAGGTTTTTTTTTTCCACTTTCTTTCTTTTTTAATATATTTTATTGATTTTTTACAGAGGGAAGGGAGAGAGATAGAGAGCTAGAAACATCGATGAGAAAGAAACATCGATCAGCTGCCTCCTGCACATCTCCTACTGGGGATGTGCCCACAACCCAGGTACATGCCCTTGACCGGAATCGAACCTGGGACCTTTCAGTCCGCAGGCCGACGCTCTATCCACTGAGCCAAACCGGCTTCAGCATTTTTTTCACTTTCTTGATAGTGTCTTTTGATGCACAATTTTCAATTTTTTTTAAATATATTTTATTGATTTTTTACAGAGAGGAAGGGAGAGAGATAGAGAGTTAGAAACATCGACGAGAGAGAAACATCAATCAGCTGCCTCCTGCACATCTCCTACTGGGGATGTGCCCGCAACCCAGGTACATGCCCTTAACCGGAATCGAACCTGGGACCTTTCAGTCCGCAGGCCGACGCTCTATCCACTGAGCCAAACCGGTTTCGGCTTCAATTTTTTTAATGAAATCCAAATTGCATGTTTTTCTTTTGTTGTTTGTGCTTTTGAAGTTACATCTAAGAAACCATCGGAAAATACAAGGTCATGAAGATTTACCCCTATGCTTTCTTTAAAATTTTTATTGTTTTAGTGCTTATATTTATGTCTTTGATCCATTTTGAGTTTATTTTTGCATATGGTATGAGGTAGGAGTCCCACTTCATTCTTTTTTATTGTTAATTCTTACCCGATGATATCTTTTCCATTGATTTTTTTTAGAGAGAGTGGAAGGGAGGGAGGAGGGGGAGGAGAGAGAAACATCAATGTGAGAGAGACATATCAATTGGTTGTCTCCCACATGTGCCCCGACAAGAGCAGGGCTCAAACCTGCAACCCAGGTACATACCCTTGACTGGGAATTGAGCCCATGACCCTTCGGTGGGCAGGATGACACTCTAACCACTGGGAAATACTGGCCAGGGCCCAACTTCATTCTTTTGCATGTGCATATTCAGTTATGCAAGCGCTGTTTGTTGAAGAGATTGTTCTCTCCTCCATTGACTTGTCTTGGCACCTTTATCAAAAGTGGATTTACCATAGATGTATAGATTTATTCCTAGACTCACAATTTTAGTCCTCTGGTCTGTATGTTTATCCTTGTGCCAGGATTTCATTGTTGATTCCTTTAGCTTTATAGTATGTTTTGAAATTGGGCAGTGTGAGTCCTCCAATTTTGTTCCACTTTTTCTTTTCTTTTTTTTCTTTTTAGTAGGCAGGATCTTTTTTGTTTAATCCTCACCCAAGAACATGTTCATTGATTTTGAGAGAGAGAGAGAGAGAGAGAGAGAGAGAGAGAGAGAGAGAGAGAAAACACTGTGAGAGATTAGTTGCCTCCCACACGCACCCTAACAGGGGCCAGGGATCGAGCCTGCAACCCAGGCATGTGCCCTTGACTGGGAATCAATCCTGAGACCCTTTGGTGTGCGGGCCAGCGCTCTAAGCCACACTGGCCAGGGCTGCACCAGTGTTCTTTATGTCTTCCAGTGGGTTTAAGTTACTGATTAGTGTCCTTTCATTTCATCCTGAAGGGCTCCCTTCCCCATTACTCATTGGGTAGATCTAACAGTGAATCCTCTCAGCATTTATTTATCTGGAAGTGTCCTAACTTCTTCGTTTTCTGAGCGATAGTTTTGCCTGAAATAGAATTCTTGGTTAACTTTTATTCTTTCAGCACTTTATTTATTTATTTATTTTTAAATATATTTTATTGATTTTTTACAGAGAGGAAGGGAGAGAGATAGAGAGCTAGAAACATCGATGAGAGAGAAACATCGATCAGCTGCCTCCTGCACATCTCCTACTGGGGATATGCCCGCAACCCAGGCACATGCCCCTGACCGGAATCGAACCTGGGACCCCTCAGTCCGCAGGCCGGCGCTCTATCCACTGAGCCAAACCGGTTTCGGCTTTTCAGCACTTTAAATATGTCATTCTAGCCCAATGATGGCGAACCTATGACATGCGTGTCAGAGGTGACACGCGAACTCATTTTTTTTTTTTGGTTGATTTTTCTTTGTTAAATGGCATTTAAATATATAAAATAAATATCAAAAATATAAATCTTTGTTTTTCTATGGTTGCAACTATCAAAAAATTTCTATATGTGACATGGCACCAGAGTTAAGTTAGGGTTTTTCAAAATGCTGACACGCCGAGCTCAAAAGGTTCGCCATCACTGTCCTAGCCCTAGCCAGTTTGGCTCAATGGACAAAGCGTTGGCCTGCAGACTAAAGGGTCCCAGGTTTGATTTGGGTTAAGGGCACATGCCCAGGTTTCGGGCCCGATACCCAGAAGGGGGCATACAGGAGGCAGCCGATCAGTGATTCTCTCTCATCATTGATGTTTATATCTCTTTTCCCCTCTCCCTTTCTCTCTGAAATCAATAAAAAATATATTTAAAATAAATAAATATTTTAAAAAGAACAATGGCCCTTGCCCTATTGGTGTGGCTCAGTGGTTGAGTGTCGATCTATGACCCAGGAGGTCACAGTTTGATTCCCAGTCAGGGCACATGCCCAGGTTGCAGGCTTGATTGCCAGCAAGGAGCATGCAGGAGACAGCGATCAATTATTCTCTCTCATCATTGATGTTTCTATCTCCCTCTCCCTTACTCTCTGAAATCAATAAATCAGAATTATTTTTAAAAAGCCAGTTTGGCTCATTGGATAGAGCATCAGCCTGCGGACCAAAGGGTCCTTGGTCTGATTCTGGTCAAGGGCACCTACCTTGTTTGCAGGCTCCTCCCCAGCCTGGGCCCTGGTCAGGGTGCCTGCAGGGGGCAACCAATTGATGTTTCTCTCACATCAATGTTTCTCTCTGTCTTTCCCTCTCTCTTCCACTCTCTCTAAGAAAAATATCCTCAGATGAGGATTAACAACAACAACAACAATATATATAATTGTATATATAATTTTATTTATTTATTTGTTTGTTTGTTTGTTTGTTTGTTTGTTTTAAAGAAAAGAACAATGGCCCAGCCCTTGGGCAGTGTCACTCAGTTGGTTGAGCGTCATCCCATGCACCAGAAGATTGCCAGTTCATTAGGGCACATACTTGATTAGGGCACATACCTGAGTGCAGGCTCAATCCCCAGTAGGGGGCGTGCAAGAGGCAGCCGATGGAAGTTTCTCACATCAATGTTTCTCTTTTTTATCTGGAAGTGTCTTAACACATAGTCACTGATGTCCCATCCTCCCTAAAAAATCAACAAAAACCTTTCTGTTTTTAAAGAACAATGGCCCAGGCATTGTGAGTGCCCCAGGGATCTCCGTTGCCATAGCGGCATAGCCCATATCATTCCTCCCAACCTGATAGCAGAGGAGAGGCTCAGGATGCTATCTTTCTGTTTCCTCAACTCCTGTGCAGAGCTGCCAGCTCCCTACATCCTCCAGGAAGTACGGGTCTCCATCATAAACAACTCCCGGTGTAACGACCTGTTCCGACAGCCCAATTTCTTCTATAGACTGGCAGATGACGTGATTTGTGCTGGCTCTGAGGATGGCAAACATGACGCCTGCGAAGTGAGTGCCCCTGCCCCAGTCAGAGCCTTGCTGGAAACAGGCCCCGCCCCCTCAACCTCGGGCCTGAGAGCAACCCCCATGACCAGTCTACCCTCAGAGTTGGTTAATGAGGAAGTGATTCCGCCCTTACCTACCCTGCCTATAAAAGCTCGTTTTGCATTATCAGTATCTCTTTGGATCCTCATGTGGGTAGCGACTTTTTCCCCCCTTTGCAGATGCGGAAACTGAGGCTTGGTCACTTCCGGGGGGAGGAATAGGATTTGCACCTAGTTTGCCCAGCTCCATAGCCCCTCCTGTTCTGCGGCCTCCCCACGCACCCCTCCTGCCCCAGGCCAGGCTCACCTATGCTGCTCTCCAGGGTGACTCAGGCGGACCCTTGACCTGTGAGAAGAATGGACTGTGGACTCAGATTGGAATCGTGAGCTGGGGAATAGGCTGTGGTCGGCCCAACCGACCCGGTGTCTACACCAACATCAGTAGATACTTCAGCTGGATCCAGAAGCACACGGCCCACAGCGCACCCAGGCCAGACCCCTTCCCACTACTGCTGCTCCTCCCTCTGCTCTGGGCTGCCCCACTCGTGTAGCTGACCTGCACAGCTGGCCCTGTAAGGGTGCAGGAGTTACCACAGCACTGGGCACATTCACCCAGGGCTGTGGACACCCCTGGACTGTCTGCTGGATCAGGCTCTGGTCCCTTCTGTCTCCTTTGCTAATAAACGTGTGCATTTTCATTGATTCCTCGCAGAGTGTTTTGTGGACTTGGGTGGCTTCCTGGACACTCTCATAGTCACTTATGTCCCATCCTCTCCAAGACCACTCCCTAATTCCTAATTCTTTCTCTGCTGATCTGCACTATACATATTTTGGTTGCCAACAGGAGAACCCTCACAGGTTAGTGCAATCAGAAAGAATTTGTGGAAGGACGTTAGTAGCACTAGGGGGCTAGGAAGACTGGAGCAGGGTATTGTGGAGGACGTGCCCCGGAACACCCCAGTGCTCATCACACAGATGTCAGCTGTTCCTGGTCTTAATGTGGTCGGTCCCCCAAAGGCTGACCTGGGATTCGGACTGGGGTGCGGGTAGTTTATTTAGGAGGCGATACCAAGAAGCGCCAGTGAGGAGGGGGGACACTGAAGCAGGGAAGGAAGAACCCCATGACGTTTGCCTGAATGAGGAGGGTACTGAGGCGCAGTCCTGCTGGGCCCCTGGAGAAACCGCAGGCTCCTGGAGGACAAGGATGCTGTGTGCGGGCACTTCTCTCCTGACCCCACAGGTTGAGGGTTGTCTGGTGGCATGGGTGCTCCCAGTTACAGCAGGTCCCGGTGAGGACGCCAGTGCCTCAGGAGCTGCTGCAGCACCACAAGGAGGCCTGGTGGAGGCGGCAGCACCAGGTCTGTCTGGCTCCTCACTGGTGTCCCAGAACCCAGCCTCAGCATGACCAGGGATCAGGCCAGTCGTAGGGCCCATTCAGGGGCACCTGGAACTGCTCAGGCAGATCTGCGTTTTCACAAGATTCCCAAGTACTGAGCTCAAGACGTGTGAGGAGCTATGGTTGGTCTAGATTTCTTCCCTCGGCTCCCCGCCCTACAGTTCCCTGCTGAGGAGAGGCAGGTGTGGGAGTCTTCAGAGGGCAGACCTTCCTGGTTTCTGCCCCACACCGCCAGCAGTGCATTGTGCAGGGCCGAGGTCGGCAAACTGCGGCTCGAGAGCCACATGAGGCTCTTTGGCCCCTTGAGTGTGGCTCTTCCTAAACTTAGGAGTACCCTAATTAAGTTAACAACAACGTATCTACCTATATAGTTTAAGTTTAAAAAATTTGGCTCTCAAAAGAAATTTCAATCGTTCTACTGTTGGTATTTGGCTCTGTTGACTAATGAGTTTGCCGACCACTGGTGTAGGGCATCACACTTGGACTTCGTGCCCTGGGGCAGCCCTGGGAGACTGGAGCTCCCCTCCCCTCCACCCCCACCCCCACACCCCCCCCCAACCCCCACACACCCCGGCCACAAAGAGGAAACTGATGCTCAGTGAGGGGACAGGACTGCTGGAGTCACCCCGCTCACAGGCCCGGGTCTAGAGAGCACCTGGCCAGGCCTGGGGTCTGCGCTCCATGTTGGGCCCGCCAAGCCGGAACTTGGTGCCTCCGCAGCCGGCCCTGTCAGGAGCCTGGGGCTGGTCAGGTTTGGAGGAGAGCTGCCAAGGATCCTCTAGAGCTTCCTGGCCTGACCGCAGTCCCCCTTCTCCTCCCACCTCACTGCCCTTGCTTGGCTGGCCTCACCCCCGTTTCCAGAACCTTGGCCCAAACCAGACTTCTTTTGAGAATTGCAGGTGTCCCTTTCCTGCCACCTTGAAAGTGCTGCTCAAAGCATCTTTGTTTGAGGCTGGACAGGTGAAGCCGCAGCCCCTCCCTGGTCTCCCTAATTACCCCTGGCCAGGGCCCGCCCCCTCCTGGCCTTTTAAGCCCCCACATACACCGCCAGCCCAGTCAGCTGGGAGGGACCAGGCTGTAAGGGTGAGAGCAGGGTCCAGGGGCTGGCAGGGTGGGTGGGGGCAGCAATTGGCCAATGGAAATAGAGGGTGGGGTGGGGTTTGCCTGGAGGCCGAGGGTCCCCAAGTCTCAAAGGGGTTGGGGGCAAGGGTGTTCCCCGGGGCCTGGAAGCAGACAGAGCCTGGGCCGTGGGCGTAAGCCTGAGACTAACTGGGGGCTGAGGGAAGACAGAACGGCCTCTGGGACACAAGTGCTCTGGGCTAGGACCCTCCTTCCTCTCTCTGCAGAGTCTAAGCCCTGGGCAGGGCCACTTTCACCCAGCACAGTCCTAGAGACAGAATGAGGGGGGCTTCCTGCCCCCGGGTACTGCTCCTGCTGCTGCTACGTGAGTGTGGGACAGGGGCTACGGGTGCTGACCACAGGGACCTTGGCTACCAGATGTCCCATCTCACCCCTCTCTGGCCTGGTTCCCATAGAGCACACCAGGGCAATCTAATCTTGGCTTCAAGGGTTCCGGTTCTCTCTGTCACTGACCTTGGGCTCTCCAAACCTGGATGTGCTGCTGTCTTTGTAATGGGTATAAGTCCCCACCTCTCAGTGCTTTGGGGAAGGTTACATTGGGTAACCAGTTGGACATAATCCCGGCACCAGGTTAATGCAACAGATTTGTTCCACCTCCCTTATCTGTAACCTCCCTTCCCCTCGCTCCGTTATCTGATACCAAATCCATAATCCAGTGCCTTCCCTACTTCCTCTTCCAGGAGTGGCCGGGACACTGCAGTCTGCAGGTCAGGAAGCCTCAGGTCCGCCTCCTAACACCACCCCCACCCCCACCCCACCCCACCCCCACCCCCGGGCCAACTCCTACCTAACCTTGGCTCTAAGTCTCCCCGCCCTCTTCCCAAGCCTCCAGTCCTCCGCCCACCCCCGTCCCCCTTGTCCTCTCGCAGCCTGCGGGCAGCCTCGTGTGTCCAGTCGGATCGTAGGGGGCCAGGACGCCCGGGCCGGAGAGTGGCCGTGGCAGGCGAGCATCCAGCACCGCGGGGCGCACGTGTGTGGGGGCTCGCTCATCGCCCCGCAGTGGGTCCTGACCGCGGCGCACTGCGTCCAGAGGTCAGCGGCCAGACGCCAGGCCCAGGCTCATCAGGGGATGCAGGGATGGGGCAGCGGGAGCGGGAAGCCAAGCCCGGGAAAATGCGGCGCCACCTAGCGGAGGCGCGGGGACTGGGCCCGAGCGGAGGGGCGGCGGTAAGCGGCCCTGCTCCTGTCGCGCAGGCGGGCGCCAGTGTCTGGGTACCGCGTGCGCCTCGGGGCGCTTCGTCTGGGTCAGGCCGCGCCCCGCGCGCTCTCGGTGCCCGTGCAGAGGATGCTGCTGCACCCCGACTACGCTGAGGACGGGGCCCGCGGTGACTTGGCATTGCTCCAGCTGCGCCGCCCAGTGCACCTGAGCTCCCGAGTCCAGCCCGTGTGCCTGCCGGAACCCGGGGCCTGGCCGCCACCCGGTACTCCGTGCTGGGTCACTGGCTGGGGCAGCCTCTTCCCAGGAGGTGAGGCAGAGGGCGGGGCCGGGGGGCACGGGGGAGGGCCAGGCATTCCCCCCTCCTTCCTCTGTCCCACCACTGCTTCAATCTGGGAATCAGTGCGACCTGTGGGCACCCCAAACCCCCCCAGTCCTGGCCAGTTAGATTCCCAGGTGAGGCTTCTCCCCCCACCCTGCTTACTGCCACACCCTCTCTCATGGCTCACGAGTCCCCCTTCGTCCCCCAGTGTCACTTCCAGAGTGGCGACCTCTTCAGGGAGTAAGAGTGCCGGTGCTGGATGCGGGCACTTGCGACCACCTCTACCATGTAGGCACCCATGTGCCCCGCGCTGAGCAGATAGTGTTACCAGGGAACCTGTGCGCTGGCTACGTCCAGGGCCACAAGGATGCCTGCCAGGTGCGTGAAGCTGCCTCGAACCTCTGAGTCCATGCTCCTTGCCCAGCAGCCTACCTCCCTTGAACCCAGGACCAAGGAGGTACCACCTCCAGGTTCGGCATCCTGGCTCCCAACCCAGATGCCCCACCTGGGGGACTGGAGCCCTAGGACTACGATCATAGCCTTAGAGGACGGGGACCTAAGCTTGCCTTTCTCCTACAGGGTGATTCTGGGGGACCCCTGACCTGCTTGAAGTCTGGGCGCTGGGTCCTGGCGGGCGTGGTGAGCTGGGGCAAGGGCTGTGCTCTGCCCTACCGTCCAGGTGTCTATACCAATGTCGCCATGTACAGCCGTTGGATTCAGGCTTGCCTCGACCGCTGATGTGGTGACTCTGACTTGGGTTCCTCAGCTACTTGGTCCCTCTGGGGACCTGCACATCCCCAACCCTTCCACGTCTCACTTGAGGCTCAGAGGCCCGATAAAGCTAAGGGGCCATCTCTCCATCCAGCTGTCCATCCCCTGCCTTCCTTGGGGGTCACCAAACCTGGGCTGCCAGCCCTGCTCCAGGAGCCTCCCATCTGTGGGGGTCTCACACTCCTGCCTCCCCTTCCTGCTCATTTATCCTCCTCAGCTCCAGCCAGGACTGGGCCTGGGCACCAGCGACGGTAAGTGGCATTCCCGGTTTGGCCTGTGTGCCCCTCTCTAGGGGAAGTCAGGGAGATTCGAAGTGTAGAGGGATTCAGCACCAAGAAGATGGTTCTCCCTCACCAGCTTTGAAGGTGGTGTAGGGGTCGCACGGCAAGGAACTTGCAGCCGCCGCCAGGAGCTGAGGGCAGCCTTGGCTGACAGGCTTCGGGGAAAGGGAAATCTCGGCACTGTGACCGAAAGGAACTGAATCTGGACACCTGACCAAGCCGGGAGGCGAATTCTTCCCCAGCCTCCAGTGAGAGTCCACTCGGCCAGCCCCACAGACCTGTTTTAGTAAATTTGTGTTGTTTAAAGCTGCTATGTTTGTAGTCACTGGTTACACAACAATAGGAAATGAATCTAGATTTTGCCCCACCGCAATGAAGATACCTGGGGGCAGGGTGAGCCTCTACCAGGCTCAGGAGTCTGGATCACCTGGCATCATGCCCTCTGCCCAAAAGGGGCCGGGGCCCCCAGGCAGGCCTGGCTGGAGTTTCTGCTGTTGTTTCTGTCATTACCCCACCCATGCCCTGCGGGAGTCTGGGGCTTGAACAGAACCCCCACACCCAGGACCCCCAACACCTGAATCTGGAGACTGGCTTAGACCTTTTACAGCTCCATGCCCACCTTCATGTGCCTGGGACCGGCCATCTCCTCATCCCCAGCCCAAGGACACCCATTCTGTAGATAGAGCTCAGTTTCTAGAGCTGCAGGAAGAACAAGAAACTGAACAAAACCTGGAAAATCCAAAGCCTAATCTTTGGAGTTGGCAGCAGCAGCCGGTAAAGAGGTAACGGGAAGGCCATCATCAAAGGTGCAGCTGGGTGGGGCGGCCCAAGTGCAGCTGCCCCAGGTGGTCGCTGCTGGGCTGCTGTAGGCCAGGCCAGGCAGAGTGAGTGTACGGACCGGGGCAGCAGGGAACTCCAGGCTGCTCTTTCCCCCAGGCTGAGGGCCATCCATCTGGGGTAGAGCTGGGCTGTTTCTTGAGGGGCATCAGGGACTAGGGTGCCCAGAACAGGGTATGGCTGTGGCAGACCGGCCTGCAAAAGGCTGTGGTCACATTTGCAGTTGAACCAAAGGACCCCTGTGGGGTGATGTTGGCCATTCTCCCAGTTCTTTCTCAGTCTGAAGCCAGCCAAGGGATGCCTCCCAAAGCACTGAGATGGGAACAAGCCTGGGCTGGAGCCAGGGTTCCTCAGCCTTGGCCCTGCTGTGATTTTAGTGATGGGTTTCCATTCAGAGTCCAGTGTTTCTAAAGCACAACCTGGGAGCGGGGTAGGGGCAGGAACTGGGCAGAGAAGGGAAGGGCCAGTGAACGAGAAGAAATGCTACTTCCGGTCGGGCTCTCACCAGGAGGCTGGGCCACTGTGCAGGGCCTTTACTGGACTATCTCTGGGTTTTCCACTGAGGCTCTGTGAGGTAGGTTTGTTTCCTCATTTGTCAGATGAGAAAACTGAGGCCCGAAGTCATGCAGCTGGTAGACGGTAGGCTGGGATCTGAACCCATGTGGTCTGATTCCAGGGGGAGCTGGGAATGGTAGAGGAGGGATTACTCCCTTCGCTGTCTTCACTTCTTCCTATGCTGATATTGTGGCTCCCAGCCCCATTCTTCTTGGCCTATTCCTGGTGTGGCAGCCTTGTGGGGCTGGGCAAGTTGCAGCACTTTTCAGCCTGCAGGCTCACTGGCACAGCACCCTGTACTGCAGCACCCTGTCAGCAAGGTCAGTGTGTGTGTGGGGGGGGCTGGCCGTGCATCCTGCTCCTGGGCCCACCATGGCTGCACAGGGGATGCTAGCCTCTTGTCCAAGGTAGGCTTCTCCTAGTTGCCCGCCTCCTCCTGTCTGTGGTGCTACAACCAGGTGGCCTTGTCTCCCCCAATACGGACTCAACCTCATTTCCACACCCGTCATCTGAACTGCTAACAACTGCCTTATTAAGGCTGTTGGGAGAGTCACGTTGACAGCTACAGCAATCATGGTGTTGCCCATGAGCACGTTTGCTGGACCAGGCATGGGTGGGCTCTCCTGGGTGTTTTCATTTCCCATCCATGGGTGAAAAACAGGCCTTGAGAGGTTAAGTGATAGGCCCTGAGGTGCACGGCAGGTAAGAGATGGAGCCAGAATTGAATTTGGGCAACTGACTCAAATTCCATGTCACTTCCCTCATGGAGATTGGTTAGTTGTAAAACACTACAAATGAGAGGCCCAATAATAACTAGTGGTCATTTATAATTACTATTTATTAATCAATGTTAAAAAATAGACAGGAGGGGAAGGCCCACCAAGGCCAAGACTCTGCAGGCTTACTTTGGAGGGTACCTGTCATGAGCGTTGGGTAGTTGAGGCAAGGGGGCAGAAAGGTCCAGGCCTTTCTGGGCAGAGAAGCAAGAGCAGCTGGCTAGCCAACTCACCTTAAGATTGCCATTCTGTCATGGCCTCTAGGAGGGAGGACATACATACACCAAGCGAGACCACAGAGCACAGGGGTTGGGGGTGGTCAGCCCGTTCTCCCCTCAAATTGCACCCCCACCCCATCCCTATGGGTACAAAGTATCATTGCCCTGAACGACAGGATGCCCGCAGTCACCTCCTGCAACCAACTGACCAAGTGGGCAGAGACCACCCCCTCTGAAGGGAAGGACTCACTACCTCTCCCAGGCCAGGGGACCTGAGACAGTTTCGATCAGACACATCATTGCTCAAACCCTGGCACTGTGCTCTGTGCATTAGTTCATTAATACTCCCAAATATCCTAAGGCGTCCCATCGTATAGTCCCTTCAAGGATGGAAAAACAGGTGCAGGCTCAGTGCCTTGCCCAAGATCACAGTTAGTAGGCTGGGGCTCGAACTCGGCCTGCTGGAGGCTGGGGACAGGCATGATTCTCAGGGGGAGGGGGTGGGGGCTCAGAGTGCTGCCCACCCCCCAGACCTGCAGGGTGACTCCTGGTGAACATCAGCTGGGACACAAGCTGGGCGGACAGGTCAGCTGTCTACAGGACGGTCTGCAGGACAGCCCAGCTCCAGACAGATGTGCTCAGGCTGCAGGCGGCCTGGACCTCTCCTGTCCCCGCACCCCGGGACTCCATCTGCACCTGCCTCATTCTGGGAGGGCTGCTGGCTGCCCCCTTCGCCCTCCCCTCCTCAGCAGCACAGGCACTTCAAAGCCTCCAACGCTCTGTTCACAAAGACGCTGATGTGAAGGAAGCTTTCAGGCTGGCCAGGGACCTGCCCCACCACGTCCTGACTCCGGAGATGAAGCCCAAGGGGCGGTCAGCCTGGACCTGGCGGCTAGCGGGGAGCCGCTGCTGCCTTGGGGCCCAGGGACGGGAGAGTGGCAAGAGGAGAAGGGACTTCAGAGGGCTCCTGAGGAGCCGGGAGTAGAAGTAAAAAACACCTCCAGTCAGAGTTCAGGAGACATCTGTTTAGTGCTAACTCTTGGAGAGGCTCTACAAACTTTACCAACGGTTCCTTTCCCGTCTTGAAGAAGAGGAAAGTGGGCCTTGATGAGTGAGGTTAGCTGCCCAAAGCTGCACAGCCAGCGCTGGAACCAGGACTTGAATACCCGTTGATTTGAGCCCAGAGCCCGTGCAGCGAGCCACCAGCGTGACTCAGGGCCACGGCGGCGGCTTCCACGCACTCAGGTTGCAGCCCGGCACCTGCAGAGCTTTGGCCGCCCAGCGCCCAGCGCCATTCACTGGCTCCTCTGGGACACACCCCGGTGCGGACCCTGGGAGTGGGTTCAGGAGACGAAAAGCCTCCATCCCTTGCTCTAGGGCAGTGGTTCTCAACCTTCCTAATGCCGCGACCCTTTAACACAGTTCCTCATGTTGTGGTGACCCCCAACCATAAAATTATTTTCGTTGCTACTTCATAACTATAATGTTGCTACTGTGATGAATCGTCATGTAAATATCTGCTATGCAGGATGTATTTTCATTGTTACAAATTGAACATAATTAAAGCACAGTGTTTAATCACAAAAACAATCTGTAATTATATATGTGTTTTCCGATGGTCTTAGGCGACCCCTGTGAAAAGGTTGTTCGACCCCCAAAGGGGTCTCGACCCACAGGTTGAGAACCGCTGCTCTAGTGTGACTGCAATTGGGAGTGACGCAGGGCAGTGTCCACCGCGGAGGAAGGGCGGGCTGGGCTGCGGGTCAGGCTGCCCCGTGGACAGGCAGCCAGGGAAGCAAGGCTACGGGCCCTGCCGAGGCCAGGGGGACCCGGGCAGGGCCCGCCCTCCTCTGCTCCCGGCGGCTGCTCCCGGCCTGCGGCTTCCGCCCGGTTAGCCTGCCCGACCCACCCCCGGGCCCCCGCAGCAGCTTCCTAGCGCCATTACAGGCCGTAACGCCCTGAGCCGGATGAAGCGGACTCACGCCTGAGGCGGGGCGGGGCGGTGCGGACAGTCCTCCTATACGGCGGCTGGAGGGCCAGCATTGAAAAGCTCCTCCAATGGCCGCCGAGAGCCGTTGGAATCATGCGTCAGGCCCCTGCACGCGGCAGCCCGGGTCTCACTGAGATGCTCATGCTGCCTCCCCAGAGACCCAGAAGCGTATCATCCATTCACTCTTCCTGGATGCGGGAGTAGCCACGCTCGTAAGCTGGTCTCCCATAGCAACGAGAGAAGGCTGGCCCCGCGTCCGGGCCTCCCGCTGCCTGAGCCAGACCCGGACCTCGCTCTGCCACTCCCAAGATGGCGCCGTCCCAGCGACGCCCCTCCCGCCTACGACCCCTGCCCGACTCCCACCACCTCCGCCACCCCGGCCGGAGACGTCCCGCGCCACGGCGCCAAGATGGCGGCCGGCCGTACAGTCTGAGGGACCCGCTTTTCCGATCACTTAAAATGGCGGCCGCGGGGCGGGGCCGCCGGGCGCGGGGCACGCTGGGGGCCAGCGCGAGGGACGCCGGGAACGGGGGCGGAGCGCGGCCGCGCCGGCGCGTCGAGTGGGAGAGGCAGCTGCTACGATGGTGAGCGGGCGTGGGGGAGGGGCGCTGGGCTGGGGCCGGGGGCGGCGGGGGCCGCGGGCCGCGCGGGGGTCGGGGGGGTCGGGCTCCCCGTGATGCCGGTCCGCTGCCCCCAGGACGTGTTCCTTATGATCCGGCGCCACAAGACCACCATCTTCACGGACGCCAAGGAGTCGAGCACCGTGTTCGAGCTGAAACGCATCGTTGAGGGCATTCTCAAGAGGCCGCCCGACGAGCAGCGGCTGTACAAGGTGCGGCCCCGCCGGTTCCGGGAGGGCGGGGGCCTGGCGATGGCCGGGGCCCGGGCGGACGCTGCCCGGAACCGCCTCCCTGAGCCTGGTCGTAGGCGCCCGGAGGCGGCGTCGTTGATGTAAACAGTAGTGGACGCCGCGGGCTGAACCTCCCCCACGTGGGGCCGTGTTCGAACTCGGGGAGAGGAAGCAGCGAGAGCGCTCGCCACACCTGAGGTCGCGATGGAGGAGGGTGTGGAGGGCGCGCGCCAGGCTCCGTGCTGAGCGCCGGGGCCGGCATCGCAGCTGATCCCTGCAAACGGTCCCACCCGCGCCGCGCCGGCCCTGGACGTCCCTGCTCTGTTGTTAAGGAAACGGGCTCGGCAAGGTGGCCACTTAAGAGCCCAAGGTCGCTGGCAGAGCCAGGCTTTGATTCCGGAGACCCTTACCCCTCTGCAGGCCCGTCAGAACCACACTGACCCCCCCGACACTCCGCACAAAGACATGGTGCTCGGACGAGTCCGGTTGAATCCGGTCCCGCCAGCGCTTCACAAAACTGATGACTCCCCAACCTTGCTGATGTTATAAAAGCTCCCGCACCCCCACCCCTGCCTTCTTACAACCAACGAGTTATTTAGCAAGGATGGCTTGTGGTTTGGGGTGTTCACTGGGGAATCGGGTGTGTCAGCCCTGATTGAAGTCTCTGGAAGCATGAGGTCCCTCACGTGAGTGGCTGATTGATGCCTACCGGGGCTTCCCTGCCGGATGCACGCCTTCACTCTGAAACCTCCTGTTGGGAATTCCAGTAATTCCCATTTGACAGATAAGGAAACGTCACATCAAAAAGTTTACTTGGTCCGGGGCGGCAGAGCTGGGATTCAAACCATGTCTGCCTGTGGCCAGGTTGAGTTAACGGGCTCTTAAAATTAGATTCACCTGGAGTTTGGGAACAAACATTCCAGAGCCCTACCTTGGGAGGTTCCAGTTTGGAGGGACTTGACTGGCCCTGGGAACTTGGGTAAACTCTGTGGTGGTCCTGGGCCCTACGATGGGCTGTCTCTACCCTTTCTGACGCCCTCTGTAGTTCTTGACCAGAGAGGCCTTTGGGACCTGACCCTCCCAGGGCCCCTCCTGCAACCCTGCCTGCCTCTCTCCTCAGGATGACCAGCTTCTGGATGACAGCAAGACCCTGGGCGAGTGTGGCTTCACCAGTCAAACAGCGAGGCCCCAGGCCCCAGCCACTGTGGGGCTGGCCTTCCGGGCAGGTGAGAGGGGCAGCCAAGCCAGCCAGGGCCGGACAGCCAAAGTTAAGGGGGTCATCGGGGAGCCTGCAATTACTCTCCCAGGACAATGTTTTCCCAGCCCACAAACGTCAGGCAATATCCTGTGACTGTATTTGTTACCTCGCAAACAAGATGCTTTGTAGAAATTGGAGCCTATTCCATGAAGGATTCAAAGGTCTCTATTCATGATACCAGTTTATATTTACAGGGGACTTTTTTTTAAAATTCCCATCCCCCTTACTCTTCTTCCCCCTTTGGCAACCATCAGCTTATTTATGCATCTGTTTTGTTTCATTTATTCATTTGTTTTGGGTTTTTTTTTAGATTCCACGCATGAGTGAAATTATAAGGTATTTGTTTTTCTCTGTCTGACTTACTCCATTTAGTGTTATACCCTCTAGGTCAGTGATGGCGAACCTTTTGAGCTCGGCGTGTCAAGCATTTTGAAAAATCCTAACTTAACTCTGGTGCCGTGTCACATATAGAAATTTTTTGATATTTGCAACCATAGTAAAACAAAGACGTGTATATATATATATATATATATATTTTTTTTTATTGCTTAAAGTATTACAAAGGGTATTACATATGTGTCCATTTTATTCCCCTGCCCTAGACAGTCCCCTAGCCTCCCCTACCCCCCAGTGTCTTATGTCCATTGGTTATGCTTATATGGATGCATACAAGTCCTTTAGTTGATCTCTTACCCCCCTACCTTCTGCCCCCCAACCCTCCCCGGCCTTCCCACTGCAGTTTGACAATCTGTTTGAGGCAGCTCTGCCTCTGTAAAAGATGTATATTTTTGATATTTATTTTATATATTTCAATGCCATTTAACAAAAATCAACCAAAAAAATGAGTTTGTGTGTCACCTCTGACACGCATGTCATAGGTTCGCCATCACTGCTCTAGGTCCATCCATGTTATGGCAAATGGAAAAATTTCATTCTTTTTTATTGCTGAATAATATTCCATCGTGTGTGCGTATGTCCACATCTTTTGTATCCATCTATTGATGGACATCAATTTATTTCCATATCTTGGCTATTACTAGTAATGCTGCAATGAACAAAGGGGTGCATATATTTTTTCAAATTAGTGTTTTTGTTTTCTTTACATAAATACCCAGAAGTGGAATTACTTGGTCATATGGTAGCTCTATTTTTAATTTTTTCAGGAATCTCCATACTGTTTTCCATAGTGGCTACACTAAGTTTACAGTCCCACCAACAGTGTATGAGGGTTCTTTTTTCTCTACTTACTCACCAGCACTTCTTGTTGATTTATTGATGATAGCATTCTGACAGATGTGAGGTGATAGTTCATTGTGATTTAATTTGCATCATTAGTGATGTTGAGTGTCATGTTTGTTGGCCATCTGTGCGTCCGCTTGGGAGAAATGTCTGTTCAGGTCTTCTGACCATTTTTTTTTTTTTAAATATATTTTATTGATTTTTTACAGAGGAAGGGAGAGGGATAGAGAGCCAGAAACATCGATGAGAGAGAAATATCGATCAGCTGCCTCCTGCACTCCCCCCACTGGGGATGTGCCCGCAACTAAGGTACATGCCCTTGACCGGAATCGAACCCAGTCGAACCCAGGACCCTGAGTCCGCAGGCCGACGCTTTATCCACTGAGCCAAACCGGTTCTGGCTCCTCTGACCATTTTATGTAATTGGATTGTTTTTTTGGTGTTAAGTTGTATGAGTTCCTTATATATTTTGGATATTAACTCCTTACAGATGTGTCATTGGCAAATATCTTCTCTCAGTCGGTTGTCTTTTCATTTTGCTGATCATATCTTTTGCAGTGCAGAAATTATTTAGTGACGTAGTTCTATTTCTTTTTCTTAATATATATATATATATTTATTAATTTCAGAGAAGACGGGAGAGGGAGAGATAGAAACATCAATGATGAGAGTCACTGATTGGCTGCCTCCTGCGTGGCACCCTAACTGGGGATCGAGCCTGCAACCCAGGCATGTGCCCTGACCTGGAATCAAACCATGACCTTCTATTGTTTCTGGTTCAGTGGTCGACGCTCAACCACTGAGGTCGCTGTCTGGGCGTAGCTTTGTGTGTGTGTGTGTGTGTGTGTGTGTGTGTGTGTGTGTGTGTGTGTTTTAATGTTTTTGATTGATTTCAGAGAGGGAGGGAGGGAGGGATGGAGGGAGGAAGGAAGGGAGGAAGGAGAAGAAAAGAAGAGACGGTCAATGAAGAGAATCATTGATTGGCTACCTCCTGCATGCCCCCTCCTACTGGGGATCGAACCCACAATCAGGAATTCAATGTGATCTCCTGGTTCATAAGTCGATGCTCAACCACTGAGCCATGCCAGAATCGAACCTGGGACCCTTCAGTCCGCAGGCTGACACCCTATCCACTGAGCCAAACCAGCCAGGGCTAGCAATGTTAATTCTAAACAGTATTTGTGATTTTTAGTCCAATAGTCTTCAGTCCAGTAGTTAAAATAACTGCTTTCTTGTTTTAATTTCAAACATTTCTGTAGGACACAGTGTTGCTTTGGGCTCAGTCCAAAGGTTATTTTGCCTTAACGTTCCAAAGATTTGAGGCATAAAACATGCAAGGCCGTTCCTTCTGCATGTCAGCTCTGGCTCCATTTAGTTTTGAAAAGCTTTCACCATTGAGCATGAAATTACCTGTGGGTTTGTAGTATACAGCGTATAGTATGTTGAAATATGTTCTTTCTATACTCACTTCGTTGTTTTTGTCATAAAAGGATGTTTAATTTGTCATACTTTTTCTGCATCTATTGAGATGATCAAATGGTTTTTATGTTTTGTTAATATGATGTATCACATTGATTTATGGTTGTCCAACCATCCTTGCATCCCTCGGATGACCCACTTGGTCATGGTGTTTAATCCTGGTTTGCTAATATTTTGTTGAGAATTTTACATCTATGTCCATCAAAGATATTGACCTATAATTTTTTTTGTGTGTGTGTGTGGGGGGGTAATGTCTTCATCTGGTTTTGGCATCAGGGTAATGCTGAATGAGTTTGGAAGTGTTTCTTCCTCTTTTGAAATAGTTTAAGGATATGTTTAATTCTTTGAATGCTTGGCAGAATTTACCGGTTAAGTCGCCTCCCACTGCAGACGATAGGCGTGGGGTGCGATCGCTTGGCTGGCCTGGGGCTCCCTCTGCGGGCGATCGATTGTGGGGCTCCGCAGAGGGAAGCCACTGGCCGGGTAGCCTGGGCCTCCCTCTAATGTATTTTTCATTTCAGTTATGTATTCTAAAGGTGTGCTTGATTATTATACTTGCTAACTTTGTTGAAGTTCTAAGTTCCTCTTTTCTACTCCCAAGTTTGGAGAGCATCCTTAGGATTATTTGAATTCTTTGTCAGGAAAATTACTTGTTTCTATTTCCTTCAGGTATTTTTCTGGGGATTTTTCATGTTCATTCATTTAAGAGATACTCTTCTGTCTTTTCATTTCGTTTGACTTTGTTTATATGAATTAAACAAAATAGCTTTCTCCCAGTCATGAAAAAGTAGCCGGAGGTAGAAGCGGCCTGTGTAGGCTGTGTGTGCTGGGTGGCTTTGGCAGGCTAGTAAGAGGCGTCCAGAGCCCTTGCCCACTGAGCCAGAATGGCTCCAGGGGGTTTAGGCAGCCAGGTGCATGTAGTAATGGCCTGTTGATTTTCCTTGCTTCTTTTGTTGGGGGCTGAAATGGGCTGAGGCAATGTTTCTGGGAACATGCCACAGGGACCTTGCAGGTAGGCTAGAGCACCTGGATAGAGCCCATGACGACCCTGGTGGAGGCGGAGGGGGACATAAACAACTCTGGGGAAACAATGCCAACCTTGTAGAATTCCTGGAGTCCCGGGCTCCCCACCTTTCTCTGTATATGCTCTTTTTTGTTTATTGTACAGAAGGTGGTCTGGTGAAGAAGTTACCTTTATGTAGTCTTAGTTGGAGCACTAGCCCATAGGGCAGTGATGGTGAACCTTTTGAGCTCGGCGTGTCAGTATTTTGAAAAACGCTAACTTAACTCTGGTGCCGTGTCACATATAGAAATGTTTTGATATTTGCAACCATAGTAAAACAAAGATTTATATTTTGGATATTTTATATATTTAATGCCATTTAACAAAGAAAAATCAACCAAAAAAATGAGTTTGCATGTCACCTCTTGACACGTGTGTCGTAGGTTCGCCATCACTGCTATAGGGGCTAGAGTGGCTCCCAGCAGGGAGGCCAGGTATTTGTGGTGATGCCTTATTCCTGGCTTGTTCCTTCTGTTGGGAGGCTAAAGACTGTGCAATGTAGCCAGGAACACCCAGTGGTGATCTTGCAGGTAGGCCAAAGCACCTGGATAGAGCTCCCCAGCCCTATCAAGTGTAGGGGAATGTAAACAGTGGTGCTCACTGGCTCCTTTGTCCAGTTTCCATAGCTGCTAGATGGCTTTGTGACCTCCCAACCTTCCCTATTCTGTCTCTTCCTCATTTGTTGTTCAGAAATTGTTCATTCAACTTTCAGTTGTCTTGCATGAAGAATTGCTCTATTATTTGGAGTTTGCTCATGGGAGGGGGCGAGTTTAACCTTCTATGCCGCCACCATCTTGGACCTGAGAGAGGACCTACTGAGTACCTGGCCCTGTGCTCTGTTTTATTTTCATTTTACTGTCTTTTGTTTTGTTAATCCTCACCCAAGGATTTCCCCTCCCCCCATTGATTTTTAGAGTAGAAGGGAGGATTGGGAGTTGGGGGAAGATAGAGACCCTTTGGTGCTTGGGCTGACACTCTAACCACTAAGAACACTGGCTAGGGCCTATCTCATCCTCTTGGTAGCCCTGAGAGGTAAGCATTGCCATCCATATTTTGGAGATGTGGACACAGACTTGCCAGCAGTTATGTAGGGGAGACATGGTTCAGGTGCAAGCTGCCAGGACCTTGCCTGAGCTAGACACCCTGGCAGGCATTCTCTCAGCAGCGCATCACTTAATCTCCCAGCATCTCTGCAGACCAAAAACTTGTGCCATATTAAGGATAAGTTAACTGTACATGGGGAGTTCAGGTCATTTGCTAATGTGGGTAGTTGTTTCCTTGTGCAGCTTGCAGAAGGACAAGACATTGGTCTGTCTTCTCACCCACAAACTGGCTTCAGTTAGGGAGGTGAGTGTTCAACTCAAGTGTTAAATGGCATCATCCAGACTTTATCCAAGGAATGGAAAAGGTCTGCAGACCTCCACCTCCCAAGTTACGATAATTCAAAGTTTTGCCAGATATGGCCAACTTTCCCTGGGGGTACCTAATAGATTGAGAACCCTGAGCCAGATAAAGGGAAGTCTCTGGGTGGAAGAAAGTGAAGAAGAAAAGTGAAATGGGGCCCGAGCCGGTTTGGCTCAGCGAATAGAGCGTCGGCCTGTGGACCAAAGGGTCCCAGGGTCCATTCTGGTCAAGGGCACATACCTCGGTTACAGGCTCTTCCCTGGCCCAGGCCCTGGTCAGGGCTTGTGCAAGAGGCAACCAACCAATGTGTTTCTCTCACATCGATGTTACCCTCTCTCTTTTTATTTTTTTTAAATATATTTTATTGATTTTTTACAGAGAAGGGAGAGGGATAGTTAGAAACATCCATGAGATCGATCAGCTGCCTCCTGCACGCCCCCTACTGGGGATGTGCCCGCAACCAAGGTACATGCCCTTGACCGGAATCGAACCCAGGACCACTCAGTCCGATGCTCTATCCACTGAGCCAAACCGGTTTGGCTACCCTCTCTCCCAAAAATCAATGGAAAAATAGAGTGAGGATTAACAATAAAAAAAGGAGAAAGAAAAAGTGAAATGGGGTTCATTTGCTCTATGCTGACAGGGAAGCCACTGTTTCTGAAGAACAGAGAGCCATTTTGGCCAGTTTAGTGTTCCAAGGCAATGCACAGGGCATTGGGATGCAGAGGGGTGGTTCATGTGGGATGGCTGGGGAAGGCTTCTCTGAGGTGGTTTGGTTTGAATGTCATGGAATGGCAGGCTTGGACCAGTAAGTGCAAAGGCTCTGAGGCAGAAAGAGTTCGATATGGGAACTTGGAATAACACAGTAGAGAGATTGGAGAAACATGATAGCAAGAACTTGACATTTTATTCAGAGTATGTTACAAGCTATTGGAAGATTTTGAGGAGGAATAAAATAGTCTGGTTTGATTTTTTTTTTTTTCCTCTCCAGAGGATATTTTTTCATTGATTTTTAGAGACAATGGAAGAGAGGGGGAGACACATCAATTGGTTGCCTCCCGCACATACCCTGACCAGGGCTGGGGATTGAGCCTGCAACCAAGGTATATGCCCTTGAACAAATTTGAGCCTGGGACCCTTCAGTCCATGGGCTGACGCTCTCTTCACTGAGCCAAACCAGCTATGGCTGGTTTGATTTTTTAAATCACTGCTTGGTAGAGAAGGGATGTGAAGGAAACAAGGAGATGGGATCAGAAGGTAAGGAAATGGGCCCCAGGATGGCCAGGCTCAGGGAGAGCAGGGTCAGTTAGTCCTGTAGAGGTGGGAGACATTCCAATAGGACAGTTGGATATAGGTAGGTCAGGGCTGTGGAGGAGACTCACTTTGGGGGGTGGGTGGGGGAGGGTTTGCTTGGAGGTCCCACAAGTTAGAGGTATTTCCTCCAGCTCCCCCTATTTTCTTCAGATGATGCATTTGAAGCTCTGCGCATTGAGCCCTTCTCCAGCCCTCCAGAGCTGCCTGACGTGATGAAGCCACAGGACTCAGGAAGCAGTGCCAATGAACAAGCTGTGCAGTGATTGGGCCTGGGGCCTGCTCCTCCCCAGTGCCCCATCCCCGCAATAAAAGAGATTTGGGTGTCTGCCTGGTTGCTGCCTCTTTATGCACACCCTCTCCTGATTCCAGGCATCATCCTCACCAGGGTGGGGCTCACTCCTTGTGAGACTCCTCTCCAGCCTCTCCTCTTGCTTGCCAGGCTGGCCTGCTGGACCACAGGTTCTCTGTGCTCATCAATCCATCCCCAGCCCAGCCTGTCCCTGAAAGGCCATGGGGAGAGAACTGGGAGAAACCCCGGGCCCCAGGCTAGTTTTTTTCAGCCTGCTCCTGTCTAGGGGCAAAAGGTTTGAGGCTTTGTTCATTCCCAATCAATAGTCCCCTTTGCTGCTTCCCCCTCCACCTCTGCACACTGGCTTCCAGGCAGGTACCTCTTTCCTGCTCAGAGACCAGAAGCAAAAGCGTAAGCCAGAACCAGTGTGTGGCTTCAGAGCGGTCTATGTGGAACCCTGTAGTCAGTCACTAGAAGGGGCAGCTCTTCTCCCTGCCCTTCTCCACCCTCTAATAAACAGTCTGTAGACCCAATTCCTGCATTTCTCATTTTTATTTGACAGAAAAAGTTGCTCTTGCTGTACAGATTTTAAAAAACCAAAATGCCTTTAAGAAATGTGAAGAAAAGTTGGGGGGAAGGGGCCACAATCTCACTGGGGGGCAGTAAGGGCCAACTAATTTTAACTCCTGCCCCTTTCCATAACATACAAGTTCCCAAGTCCCAAATCATCACCTCCCCCTCTTCCCTGAACTCAGGAGTAAAGGGGGGACAGTGCCACCCAGGCCCTTTTTGACTCAAGACTGAAGGAATCCTGAACTCTATTTCCTCCTCCAGCAACTCCCATTCTTACTCCCACCCACCCCCAACCCCCCAAAACATGTGAACCAGAAAAACTCACAGATTAACATTTCACAGGAACAAAGAAAAAAAAAGGGGGGGTAGAGAAAGAAGGGAACCCCCTCAAAATGCTGCCAGGGTTCGGAGGGGACAAGCACCCCCCCACACACACAGCTGTTGGGGAGAAAAGGGGGCACTCCCTGTGGCTCCAGAACTTGGGGTGTGGTGGGATTCCCCAAAGAAAACACTCATGGAGACCTGCAACAGAGAAGAATGCCATCAATGCAGAGGTCTCAGGCAGTCAGAGCTCTCAGGGAAAAGGCTCAGTCCTGGAGCACAATGAAACACACCTGGAGGAGCGGTGCCGCACTGGGCGGGGGCTAGGTGTCTCCCTCCTGCGCTTGTGGCCTGGGGAGCGGCTGTCCCCACGCTGACCTCTCCGGGAACCATGCTCACTGCTGCTGCTCCTGAAACACACGACATCAGGTCACACACACACCCCAATCTCTTGCATCTTTTAAGCCTGAAAACTGTTTTGCAAATGTTGACCAAATCGGGCTGGCTATTGGCAAGAACACACTAGTGGCCCTACCTCTGTTGGTCCTGTGGTGAGGGCTGGGGCGAGGGGTGTTGGCGCTCGGCAGGTGAATAGCTAAGGGACCGGGAGTCCCGGAGGGAGTCTATTGGCTTCCGGGGGCTGCGGGACCTAAAGAGCAGAGAAGGTCCACATAGTGCCACATTCTTCCAAACCCACCAGCCAGCACTCAGGACCACCCCCCAGGTCTTAACCACCAAACCTCATACCACACAGGGCCAGCCTCAGACCCACCTTTGTCTGCTCACTCACCCATCCGCCCGCATACCATCCACCGAGTGCCCCAGTGGGCAGGGCATGGGGATGGGACGGTGGGGGACACAAAGGTAAAGACAGTCCCTGCCCTTGGAGGGGCTCAGTCTGGTGGTGAAGGAAGGCCAAGAGGCACGCTCAGCCTCATGTGTGGGAAGCAGCCCCACAGGGACTGATATAGGTAGATCTGGGGACTCAGGGGAGGGAGATGAAGGGGAGGGGCAGGGTAGTCTTCTCGAAGGTGCTGTTTGAGCGGAGTCTTGCAGAACGAGGAGTTCACCAGGCGGACAAGGGAATTCCAGGCAGAAGGAACAGCATGTCCAAAGGCATGGGGTTCTCCTTAGACTGCAAGGCGCTGGGAGTGGCTGGAGCAGAGGGCATGTGTGGGGGCGGGCAGGAGAGGAGAACACAGGGCAGGCAAGGCCAGTTGGTGGAGAGCCTCACACGCCATTCCCGCAGAGATGGGGCTTTATCCTGCAGGCCACAGGGCGTCCCAGAAGGATTTGTGGAGTGGAGGGAAGTAACCAGATGTGCGTTTTAGAAAGATCCCTCTGGCTACAAGTGGAAGAGAATGGCGTGGAGGCAGGGAGACAGGGAAGAGGCTGTGGACAGAGTCAGGAGAAGATGACGGTGGCCAGACCAGAGCCCTGGCAATAGCAATGGGGAGACTTAAAAGCTAGAATCCCTGGGACCAGGGACCAGGGACCAGGCTGCATGTCAGGGGCAAAGAGAAGGAACCTAGGACTCCCCAATTTTGGCTGGGGCACCCACTTGGATGGCGCAGCCCTTGTCAGAACAAGGCACAAGAGTTATGTGGGGAGAAGAGATTTTGACTCCTCCCATACAACCAGACACCAGAGTCCATATGAGACACCCAGCAGGGATCTCACACTTCCAGGGTCACATCCCGCCCCTACCATCTCAAGCAAGGTAGCACTCACCTCCGCTCGCCAGGGGGTGGCTTCTTGGGACTTGCAGGTTTGGGCAAGGCCTGAGGGTCAGGCTTAGCAGGGGAAGGAGAGGATGTAGAAGAGGAAGAGGAGGAGGAAGAGGAGGAAGAGGAGGAGGAGGAAGAAGAGGAGGAAGAGGAAGAGGAGGAAGATGAGGAAGAGGAAGAGGAAGAGCTGGAACTGGAGCTGCTATCACGCCTCTTCCTCTTGGCTGGGGTTGGTTCCTGAGGTCGTCCCTCTCGTTCAGTCTCTTTTGGGGCTGGGGGAGGAGTAGGGACCCTGTAGGAAGAGTACAATGTCACAAGGAGAGACAAGCTGCCCCAACCCCAACCCTACCTTCCAAGACCGGGAGGAAGGGCAGTGGGGGAGGGGGGCTTGAGAAAGGTCCTGGGAACTCTCCTAGCCAAAGCCAGAGAGCCAGTGACCCAGTGAGCATATTCTCTGGAGAGCAGTGGCCCCAAGCTGACCCAACCTCTGCTAACATAAGCAATAGGCTGGGGGTCTGCAGCACAAGGGATCAAGGTTAAACGTCAAGAATGTCCCTGATGAAGGAATACAGCCCCTGGGCTCAGGTGTGGGTGCAAAGCTGGGTGGTCTCCTTCCTTGGAGAGCCAGCTTGGGTAGGCTCCTGTGTGTGTGTGCGCTGGCTGGGGGAGGAGCCGTCCTGCCTGGAGGCAGGAAGAGGGATGGGATGACCTCTGAAGATCCTTCCAGCCCAGGGAGTTCCTCTTGAGGTCTAACTGCCATCCCTCCTGCTGTAAAATTAAGTCCATTTCCTCTAGTTCTGTCCTCTGTAGAGATGGAAAACTTATCATTATCCTCTAGAGAATTAACCTTTGGAGATTTTTCTGTCCCATTCCACCCTCCAACACCCCCACCCCACATTCTCTCTATTCCCAGCTTACACCTAAACAAGCCAGGAACCCTCTGGATAGGGCGTTCCCTTCCCCATCCCGACCATCCTTTACAAAACCTTCCCCTTGGAAAAGTTCTAAAAGCCAAGTCCCCTTACCTCTTCAGTGCCACCTCGGGTTGAAGGGGAAGGCTAGAGCCCTCCGAGTCACTAGAACTGGAGCCAGAGGAGGAGGAGGAGGAGGAGGATGACGACGATGACGAGGAGGAACTAGATGAGGAGGAGGAGGAGGAACTCCGCCGCTCCTTTGCTGGCTGCAGGGCCCCCGTAGAGGCAGGTGGTTCCCCGCCCTCAGGGTGGGCCCCCCCAGGGGCAGGGACAGAGAGCATGCCATTGTGGTCACCAGCAGAGGATGTGGTCTTTGCCACCGACCCAGAAGAGAGGGACTGAGATCCTGCTACAGGGGTCGTTGAGGCAAGCAAAGATCGGGATTGGTCAGAAAGAGCAGATGGCACAGGGGACCTAGGCCGATCCTGAGCTGGAGGGAGAACAGACTGTGAGGGAGGAGCCTGAACCATTCTAGAAACTGGAGAGGGAACCCGCTCAGAGGTCATTCTAGACTGGCTTGGGGCAGCTGGTGGGGTTCTGGAGCCTGGGCCTCCCGGTGGGGTTCTAGACCTGGCTCGGTCAAGGAGCGGTGGTGAGGTTCTGCCACTAATGCGCTCATAGGCAGAGAGGGGCACCCTGGGGCTGGTGAGGTTTGCACCAGACAAAGCTGGAGCCATTCTAGCACTGGTGAGGCTTGCAGGGGCCAAGGATGGCGGGGTTCTTGAGCTGGCAATATTCACAGGAGCTGTGGCATGTGTAGATCTAGGACCCACCAGGTTTGCAGGGGTTGGTGCCTGGGGTGTTCTGGAGCTGGATGGATAGTTTGCAGCGTTTGGGGGTGTGCCAGAGCCTGAGAGACTCAATGCTGCCAATGCCGCTGGGGTTCTGGCTCCTGGTAGGTTCACAGCTGGAGCTGTAGGGGTGCGCGGGTCAGCGAGGTTCACAGCAGATGGTGTGACTGCTGTTCTGGGGCTGGTCAAGTTCATGGCTGCTGCTGCAGCTGGTGTTCTCGAGTCAGCCAGGTTCACTGCTGTTGGTATGGCAGGTGTCCTGGCACTGGCCAGGTTCATGGCTGCTGCAGAGGCTGCAGGAATCCTACTGGCAAGGCTGGCAGCTGGGGCTGTTCTGAGACTCATGAGAGGCACTGGAGCAGGAACCTGGGACATTCTTGCAGCAAGGCCTGCAGCAGACATGGATGGAGGCGGCCGAGCAGTGCCAAGACTGATGGCTGTCAGGGCAAGTGCAATTCTAGACTGAGCATGATTTTCTGGCACAGATGTTCTAGGGTGATCAGGAATTCGGGGACCTGGACCATCCATCATGGAGCCACCAGCTTGCTGCAGGACAGACATGGGTGTTCTAGAGCTGCCAAGGGGTTCAAGCATTCCAGGAGATCTACAGCGGTCAAGAGGAGTTGGTGACATGCTAGGACGACTGAAGCAACTCATTCTGGAGCTATTGAGTGCCACTGGAGGTGTCCGAGAACCAGAATGATTCCTTGTTGCAGGAGGAGTAGCAGAACGTGAACGATCGGAACTACTTCCAGATACAGATCGTCTACGGATGGCTGGAGGAGATCTTGTTAAGGACCGTTTGCCCCGAGTCATTCGAGGAGTACGAGATCTAGAACGACGGCGGACAAGTGATGAACGACTTCGAGAGCGTTTGCGTGGCAAAAGTGGGGTTCGAGACCTAGAGCGACGCCGAATAGCTGGAGGTGTTCGAGACCTAGATCTGCGGCGTGTCACTGGAGAGGTTCGAGAGCGGGACCTCCTTCGAGTTATTGGACTGGTGCGAGATCGAGATCTCCTGCGGGTGACTGGTGATGTTCTGGATCTGGATCTTCTGCGAGTGATAGGAGAGGTTCTGCTTCGGGATCGCCTCCTCATTACTGGTGGAGTCCTAGATCTAGATCTTCTGCGAGTCACTGGTGGTGTTCTAGAACGGGAACGCCGGCGAGCTGGTGTTCTGGATCTTGAACGCCGGCGGGTTACTGGTGGTGTTCTGGACCTGGATCGCCTTCGACTCACTGGGGATGCTCTTGAGCGAGATCTTCTTCGTGTCACTGATGTCCTAGATCTTGATCTTCTCCGACTGACTGGTGAAGTACGTGACCTGGATCTACGTCGGCTGACCAGGGGTGTTCTGGATCTGGATCGCCGATGAGTGGGAGACCTGGAACGCTTCCATGGGGCTGGTGATGTGCGTGAGCGGGAACGCTTCCGACTGGTTGGGGGTGTCCGAGAGCGACCTCTTCGACGTCGAGAGGAGGTTCGTGAACTCTCTTGCCGGGCAGGAGACCTTGAGTGGTAACCAGAGCCTCCTCTACGCCTACGAGTAACCCGAGACCTTGAACGGCTCCGCTGTCTTCTTCGAGAGGTTGACTGAGAAGATCCAGACCTATCTCGACGTCGGGTCGTTCTGGTTTTCTCCCTCCTTGACCGGGAACGGGACCTCTGGAGCCCACGAGGCTTTGGTGAAGGAGAACGACCTCTCCTTGAAGTTGTCTTAGTGCGGGGGGATGAAGCTGAACGCCGCCGGCGTGAAGATCTTGACTTTTCAGCTGGCTCTGGGGAGGACACTGAAGGACTTCGTCGGCGTCGTGGGGGAGTTCTAGAACGTGTCTCTGGTGAGGAAGATGCAGAACGACTTCTACGGGAGAGTCTGGTCTTCCTAGCCCTCTCTGATGATCGAGAGCTGTGACGACGAGGTGGGGTGCGAGACTTAGTCTTGGGCTGTGGTGATGACCTAGAGCTTCTTCTAGCCATTCTGGATTTGGGAGGGTGTTCTGGAGAAGACTCAGAACTGCTGCTTCCTTCAGGAGAAGGACCTCTACCTTTGCTTGATGAACCTGATCTGCTTCGTCTGGGAAGGGCCCGAGGGGCAGGAGCCTTGGGTTCAGGAGAGGAATCAGAACCACTCTGTGCCCTAGATGCTGCTCTTGGCTTATCTTTAACTTCAGGGGATGAGCCAGACCTACTAAGCTGAGGAGAAGGTCGGGATTTGCTATCAACCTCTGGAGATGATCCAGAACGACTCCTTTGTCTAAGTGACATTCGTGTTTTAACTTTAGCATCTGGAGAAGAGTCTGAATCACTTCTTTCCTGAGTGGATGCACTGGGTTTCTCATCAAGTTCTTGAGAAGATCCAGATCGACTTCTCTGCCCAAGAGGAGACCTACCCGAAGTCTTTTGTTCAACTGATGATTCTGACCCACTTCTTTCTCTCTGGGGGGTAATACACTTGAGTTCTGGGGATGATGGAGAACGACTCCTTGGCCTAGGAGTCTGAGGCAAAGCTTTTGTTTCTGGAGAAGAATCACATTCACTTCTCCCCCTGGATGGTGTTCTGGGTATGTCTTTCATTCCAGGAGAGGATCCAGACAAGCTGTGCCTTGAGGGAGTCCCAGACCCATCTCTAAGTCCTGGGGAAGACCCAGACCTGCTTCTCCTTGAGGGGGTTCTGGGTAAATCATCTTTCAGTTCAGGAGAAGATGCAGAACTACTTCTTTCCCTTGAGGGTGTTCTAGGTATAGCATCAAGTACTGGCGAAGAGAGAGTCTGATTTGAGGACATTCCTGCTTTTCCCACTGCATCTGGGGATAACTCAGAACTGCTGCGTCTGGAGGACCTCAATTGTTCTTTCATGTCTAGAGATGGATCTGTCTCCAACTGACTAGGAAAAGGTTCATTCAAACCTTTGACCTCAGCAGAAAATTCAGTATTTATTTCTGCAACAGGGCCTGAGTTTCTAAATTCTAAAGGTGACTCATAGTTATTCTCCCTGGGAGAGGTGTTAGACAGTTCTTTATGTTCTGGAGAATAATGTGGCCCACTCCAAGTTGATGCCACTGCAGGGAGTTCTGCTTCCAAAGAAGCCTGCAACAACTGGCCTTGGTCAAGAGTCAAAGACACAGCAGTCCTTTCTTCTTTTTCAGAAGATGATTCAAAGTTACTTCCAGCCATTTCTTTGAGTTCTGGAGAAACATGGGACAAGACCTGGTTTGAGGACACTTCAGATTTGTCAGCTACCTCCATTAACTCCTCATCTTGGCTTGGTTTAGCTGATGGACTACTTTGGTCTTTTGTATCTGGAGATGACCCAACACCACCTCTTTCCTTTGAAGAGGTTCTAGGTGTATCTTTGAGTACTGGTGAGGGCTCAGGTCTATTCTGTACTGGAGGAGGACTCAATTTGTCACTTAGTATAGATGATGCAGTAAGATCCTCCTGAAGGAGTAAGTCTGTTTGCTTTTTTGATTCAGGAGAAGGCTCCAATCTACTCTGCCCCAGAAGAGATTTACAGTCCACTGGAGGATATGGGGAAGAGTCAGATTGGGATCTGTTCTGTTCAGGAGACATTCCAGATTTCAGCCTAGGGCTCACCGACAATTTGCTTCTATCTTGTGTTGTTGGAGATCTGGGTGCAGGCTCAGTGACAGGAGAAGAGGGCCTGGATTGACCACCCTTAGGCGGTGTTTGAGATTTGCTCTTCAGAGATAGTGTGTCATAGTGATTCTGTCTCCTTTCTGGACTTGAAGTGTCAGATCTAGAATCTAGTGAAGTGAGAGATTGTCCTTCTTGCTGCAGAGATGAAGTGCCAAAATAGCTCTCTCCTGGTGGTGTGCTAGACTTTAGTCCTGAACAGAGTGAGAAGGACCCAGAACAACTTTGTGCTGATGAATCTTTAGACATCTCTTGGGAACCTGGTGACTTTGATCCAGAAAGATTGTGGCCTGGTGAAGTTTGAGGCTGTACTTTGGGGCTTGGTGAAGTAGACCCTGAGTGACTTTGTCTTGGTGGTGTTCCAGGTTTCACTTTGGTATCTGGTGAGGAGGACCTAGAATGGCTGTGTCTTTGTAACAATATAGATTCCACCTTGGAGCGAGGAGACTCTGATCTGTCTTGCCTTGGTGGTGTATTAGATGTCACCCTACCAGGACTTGGAGAAGATGAACCAGAACGGCTCTGGATTGGTGATTTTACTGCCTTTACTTTGGGTTGTGGAGATGACGACCCAGACCGGCTCCGTCTTGGAGATGTGCTCGATTTCACTGCAGAAGGCGAGGACACAGAGCAGCTTTGTCTCAAAGGGGTCCTAGACTTCACCTCAGGATCAGGTGATGTTTCAGAACAGCTCTGTCTTTGTGGTGTTGCAGACTGTTCATTTGCCTGAGGACTTGTTACAGATCCTTGCCTTGGTGGTGTTCCAGATTTCCCTTCAGGTTGAGATGAACCAGAATGACTTCGTCTTGGTGGTGGTGTTTGAGATTTAGCTTTAGATTGGGATGATCCAGAGCGGCTACGCCTAGGTGGTGTCTGAGACTTTTGTTTAGGACACGGAGAGGATCCAGAAAGGCTTCGTCTCAAAGACAAGCGAGATTTTGCTTTGGATCGTGGAGAGGAGAGAGACCTGCTCCGCCTTGAAGAAACATGGAATTTTTTCATTTCTGGGCTTGAGTTGGACCTGCTCCTTCTCTGTGATGTTCTGGATTTATTCTTCCGCTCTGATGATGAGCCAGACCTGCCTCTCCTTTGTGGTGTTCTAGAATGAGATCTTCCCCGTCTAACTAGACTTCTACTACGGGATCTTCGTCTTGCTGGAGTCCTAGACCTAGATCTCCCTCGTCTTGCTGGTGTCCTAGACCGAGATTTTCCTCGCCTGGCTGAGGTTCTAGAGCGAGACCTGGCACGCCTGGCTGGGGTCCTAGAGGAAGACCTGCCACGCCTGGCCGGGGTTCTAGAGCGAGACCTGCCGCTTCTCCTGGCTGGCGACCTGCTACGAGACCTCCGTCGTACTGAATGGGTCCTAGATCTGCGCCTAGCCGGTGTTCTAGACCGAGATCTGCCCCTCCTGGCTGGTGTTCTAGACCGAGATCTACGCCTGTTTGGTGTTCTGGATCGTGATCTACGCCTCGTGGGTGTTCTAGAGCGAGATCTGCCCCGTCTGGCTGGTGTTCTAGAGCGAGATCTGCCCCTAGCAGCTGGGGATCTGGAGTGTGACCTTCCTCGCCTTGCTGATCTAGATCTGCCTCTTCTCTGGGTATTTCTGCTCCTGGACCAGCCTGGTCGCTGAGGAGACCTAGATCGGCCACGTCGCTGGGGACTTCTAGATCGCCCCCATCTCTGTACAGACCGGGACCTATGCCACTGAGGGGACCGGGATCGAGAATGACCTCGCTTAGTAGGGGTTCGAGACCGCGATCGCCCCCTCTTCGTGGTGGTAGGGCTAGGGGACCTCCCCATCCTACGAGGAGTAGGAGAATGTGACTTATCCCGCTTTCCTCTGCCATGTGAGCGACTCTTCGATGCGGGAGAAGAAGAAATCTCTCGGTGGGACCCTGGAGCTGGTGTGGGTTTAGGACTTTCAGGGGAAGAGCTGGCATGCCGAGAAACTTTGGTAGGTTGAGGGGATGGTGGGGAGCTCTCTGAAGATGATTGGGGAGGTTTCTCAGGAGACTTAGGTGGTAATCGACCCCGGGTTGGGGAAGCCTCAGATGGGGGATTCATTGGCTCCTGACTTATGGGGGTTTTTGCAATGGGTTGTGGGGAGCTGCCATGTTGCTCAGCAAGGAGCAGAGTGGGAGCAGATGGTTCTGGGCCTGTGCTGCTCCTTTCCGGAGAGGGGCTAGGTCGAACTGTAGATTTCTAAGGGTGGGGGGGAGGAAAAAAAGCAGGAATAGGGATATGTAAGCACTAAAACTTCTTATCACCCGTAAGATTCCAACACCCTTTCCAAAGGAATTTTTCTGCATGCCCCATTATACCAAACTGGTCCTTTTTCCCATGACAAGCCATCACATTTATTCAATAACAAGAGGCTATTTAACATAAAAAACATTGGGGGAAAACATGAAGATATGGATAGTCTGTGACCTCAAGGGTCATATAATATAGAGACAGGATGCAAACACAGTACATTTTACAGAAAAGAGCCATTATAAAATGTTGTAAACATAGAAAAAAGTATTTTTAAGTGGAAAGATAAAGCAGTTCACTAAAGTGGTGGACTCTGACTTTATCCTTAAAAAATGACTATTAAGTAAAAGAAAAAAGGCAAAGATTTGAGGACTTATATAAATAAGAAACACTGGGATGGAGCACAGGAAAAGACAGAGAACATGGAAAATGGATAGGAGAGCTAAGAATTTAGCAAAACAGCAATTAAAATATAATAGTTGAAGCAAGAAAACATTAGGGCTTGCATTAGAATAGCAAGTATAAAAGCACAGGTGCTGAAAAATAAACACTCCAGAAGAGTGTTTTCAGACTGCAGGTAGCAACCCAGTAGTGGGTTCAAACATTTTAGTTAGCCACAACCAGCATTTAATGAGAGAAAATATTAGAGGAATCTAAGTAGTAATACCAAGTATGAAGAAACTTTAGAGTTCTATATACATATATAAACAGGATGATAATGCAAAAACTACATTAAGTGAAGTTTGAAAACCACAATTCTAAAGGATTTGCAAATATAAAAGAAAACCTGATAACAAGACAGAAATACAGGGGAAAAAGAAAAACCAACTGAATTCACCCAGCCAGTGTGGCTTAATGGTTGAGCTTATACCTATGAACCAAGAGGTCCTGGTCAGGGCACATGCCCGGGTTACAGGCTCAATCCCCAAAAGAGGGCATGCAGGAGAGGCAGCCAATTGATGTCTCTCTTTCATTATGTTTCTTTCTCTCTCCCTTCCTTTCTCTAAATTCAAAAACACATTTAAAAAAACAACCCCAAATTCATTTATCTCAATAAGCTCTTATTTTTCTTCATGCAAACACCTATCCTAAGTCCATATCCTTATAACCCCACAAACATCCATTAACTCATGCACATACCTCCTCCTTCTTGTCTTTGTCTTCATAAGGGCTACTAGGCTGTTTTGTAGAGGGTTCTGGGCTGCTTGGATGCCCTGTGTTGTTGGTACCTGGTTCTCTGGAAGGTGCATCTCCCTCCCCTCTACGCCCTGAAGCAGGGGAAAGACTTTGCCCTGTCAAGGCAGTTGTATGGGTTTTTGTTGCAGCACTTCGAGACCTGAGGGAGGTAATTGAGGATTGGGGAGAGAAAGAAAATCAGTTCAGGGGAGTACAGAAAACCCCCTCCCCAGCTCCCATCCACCTTTCCTGACTGTACACAACCCTCTTCCAAGTAAACCTTCTCTTAATCATAAGATTCAAATCACTCACTGAAGTTCAAGTCCAATTCACTTTGTTGGTCCTCCTCTTCCCAACACGATCCCAAAAAATGTTCTCCCTCTACCCCTTTGTTCACCTCCCACAAACCTCCCAAAACCCTCCACCCAGCCATTCCCTACCCACTTCATTCACAACTCACCTCTGAGCCCACCTCCTTCAGGAAGCCTTCCCCGATTAAGGAAGCCAGGGCAAGGATTCCTTCCTCCCCCAGACACCACGAACAAACCACCACCCCCCCTATTCTGGCAGTCCATATACATCAGAACAAAACAAAAAAATAACAAAATAAACAAAACAAATATAAACCAAAAAAAAAAAAAAAAAAAAAAAAGAGAAGGGGAAATGTATATGTCTGTCCATCCTGTTGCTTTAGCCTGTCAGCTCCTAGAGGGCAGGGACCGTGTCTTCCGAATGGTCTGTGCAGCGCCTAGCACACCGTGGGCGCTCAATAAATATTAAATTAATTAACCCACAAGTCCCTCTCCCTCCCTTCCTCCTGGACCACCCCTTACCGACTGCGGGAAGTATCAGAAGAGGAGGCAGAGTCAGCAGAAGTTGAATGGTGGGCCCGGCGGCTCTTGGGGGCTGGTGTTGTACTTCGAGACCTGAAGGAAGACCACCACCCAGAACTCAGGTACTGTCACACCTGTATTGGTTTCCCCTCATTCCTCCCTCAACCCTTTTCTTTTTTTTAAATATATTTCTTTATTGGTTTCAGAGAGGAAGGGAGAAGGAGAGAGAGATAGAAACATCAATGATAAGAGAGAATCATTGATTGCCTGCCTCCTGCACGCACCCCACTGGAGATTGAGCCCGCAACCCAGGCATGTGCCCTTGGCCGGAATCGAACCTGGGACCCCTCAGTCTGCAGGCCGACTCTCTATCCACTGAGCCAAGGCGGCTAGGGCCATCCCTCAACCCTTTATCAGTCAGGTACATGACATACTCTACCCTAACCCCTTAGGCGGCATTCATCTACTTGCTAAGCAAATCCTCCTCCAATTCACTCACCGCTTCCGCTTCTTGTCCTTAGATTTACGTTTGCTCTTTGGAGTGGGAGACCTAGAAATTAAATTAAAATTATTAAAATAATCACATTTAAAAAATGAAATGAAAAGAATTAGGGAGTTATTGAAAAATCAAGGAATTAAGCTTTATTTTAAGAAAAAAGCCCCATAGAAAGCAAGCAAGGCCATCAAGCAATGGCTCACTGCTCTGTATGCCACTATGTCCCCTATGCCCCAAAGAGCTCTTACCTGTGCTTCCGTTTCTTGGATTCAGACTCTGACCTGTTGGGGGGCGAGGGGGGGGATAAAACATAAACCAATAACTATAACTGGACTCATTAAGCCTCTCAAATCATTCCATGTACTCCCACCTCATACCTGTGCTTCTTCTTCTTAGAGCTCTTCTTCCTCTCTCGTCGAGGAGAGCTGCTCTCTGACCTGCTAAAGATGAGTTCAGAAACAAGGTCATTCTGCTTGGCTCCTTCCCTAGCTCTCCCACTTATAACACACCCCACCCTCCCCGCCACTAAAGGCTTCTAAAGCACCGAACAACTCCAACAGCATTAAGGTCCCAGACCTAAGCCCAGGACTTATTAAAATAAAAAGCGTAAGTACCTCCTCCTTATATCAACAAACATCAAAGTGAAAATCTCAGAAATCCAAAATGCTGTTGGCCAGTTCTTAAGTGATAAAGCTACAGAATCAACCCTTTCCACTAAAGAAGCATATACATTCCTTCTCCCAGCTGAAATCTGAATGGGAACTCCCTCTTCCCTGAGATAACTCTCTCCTGCTTTCCAGAAGCAAGAATTCTCTATAGACAGAGAGAGGTACACATATACAGGTTGACTGGGGAGAAAAAAAATGCAGAACTAATCCTCTTGCTTACTACAGTAACTTTCCAACTAACTTACCGTCCTCTATCTTTCTTCTTTTTCTTCTTCTTTTGCTTTGGGGTTGGTGAACGAGAACTACTGGACTCCCGAACAAGGCTGGGGAGAAACGAAAAGGAAGGATGGGTGTTAAGACAAATTTTCTCAAGATATTTCAACTTCAAAAGAACAAAATCCAAAGAGTTTGGGAAGAAACAGTCTACATACATACATACATACATAAATACATAAATAAATAAATAAATAAAGCAGAGCACTTAGAATTAGGGAGAGAAGCTGACACTGGGTTCTTGGACTTATGTACCTGTAAGGTTTAGGAGGCTCGGGAACTGGTTGTTTGGCTTCTCGAGCACGACGCTGAGGATCAAAAGAGCTCCCATCCACATAGGAATCACTGATGCCAAAGGCAGCACGAAGTCGCTCATTCTTTTTCTCATTCAATTCTGCCAACTGGTGAGTCTCAGTTACCCTATAGGGAAAAAATAGCAAAGGTGTGAAGGACACAATCATTTTTACAGAATTACAGGCAGGAGCCAAACAGGATTAGGAAAAGGAAGACAAAACAGAAAGTAAAACGTAAGAAGAGAGGACAGAAGGAGCAGTATATAGTCCAGAGGAAATCAAAGGAGAATTAAACACTCACGCTGGTCTCTGCCCTGGGGTCTCCTCCTTGCCCCCAGGGTTCACATCCTTCTCCAGCAACATGAGTCGAAAGGTCGCCACTTTTTCCTGAATTTGCTGTTCCTCGTACCTGGAGAACAAATCCCTTCAGGGTTAAAGCTTGATTAGACACTTTCCCCAGTCCCAGGTTTACAGTTTCCTCATTCCCAACAGGGTCCCTTCCCTCTCCATGCACACATAGAACTTTTCACTCACTGTCACCCAAAGCACCCTTTTCTTAAGTCCTTCTGATCTTCTCTCTGTCATCTTCCTTCCACTTACTATACCCTCTAGAACAGTGGATTTTAAACATGCTACACTCAGGCCAAGAGAATAAAGTTAAACAGGCAGAGTTTCAGGTGCTCCTCCCCAACCTCAACAAGAACAGGTCTTTCATTTCCTAGGATTACAAAATAAGGTGCATTGTATAAAAGGGGCGCCACTGCTGACGTTTGAAAACCACTGCTCTAAAAGGTTTTCTCCCTGAATGTGCTCCTTTCCCAAAATTTCACTTCTTATCCAACCCATGATCCTCTCTTATCCAGCCAGGTATTCTAGTTCCTGTTTTCCTGTCTTTGCTACTTTCCAAGGCCTAAATCCTTAAATACATTTATCTTCCTCTTCTCTATCAATAACAACACTGGTCAACTTATCTAGATCTTCTCTTGCCTGTTTTCTGCATTCCCACCTCTCCCTTAAAGCACATTTTTCCCCCCCTCAATGGCCCCCTTTCCCCATGTGCCTCTGTCTAAATCGGGCTCCCTTAGATGTCCCAGGCAGTTTCCTCATCTCCCACTCTGAACTGTCCCTTAACTCCTTTCAAGGTGCTACCTCCACCCCTCCTACAACTCCCCTCCAGGCCTCTTTCAACAACTCCTAAGCTACCTACACCCCACCTAACTCCCCCAGCTCTGTACTCATTCAGTGCTTGGCTCTCCCCAGCCCTCCCCTCACCCCTGCTCTTCCATCATCTCCTCCAGCTCGAGGCATCGCAGCTCCACTCGCCGCTTGCGCTCGTGGTCCAGGATGTCAGGATTAGGCCGCTTCACCAGGGCAGCCTCCAGGCGCCGCAGTTCCTCCTCTCCCTTGTAGTCAGGCCGCTCACCCCGACGGCCCCGAACCAGGGACAGGTTGCGCTGGACGTAGCCGTTGGTGCCGCTGCCCCGGGGCGTCGGCAGCCCGATCCCGTTGTACATGGCCCCGTGCCCGGGGGGAGTGGGGCACCACCGCTCCTGAGGGGGAGCGGGGAAACACGGGTCAGGCCCCTGGCCCCAAGCTAACCACTTACCACCACCCAAATCCCTGCTCTCCTTCATCCCTATTACAACATGTACATACACACTAAACAACCTTTAGCTGCATAATCTTCCTAGTCTCCTAACAAAACCTTCCTTCCCACAATGCTTTCTTTCCACCAACTCATAGCCCAGCTCTTACAGCATTTTCCTTCAAGGTGCAAGAGCCATTCCTACTTGCACCTAGATTTTCTTCTTTTTTCTACCCTAAGCAAACAAAGATCCTTTCAAATATCTCCATACTGTCCCTTTATTCTCTTTTGGTCCCAATACACACAAATGGTGTCTCCACCAACTACTCTAACTCCTAACCTCTGGTTACTGACGGAGGCCTCCAAACTGGCACAACAAACACTCAAGGGCCTACAGCTCAAGTTCAAAGACTTCCAAGAACTGACCTAAGGATTTCAGACTACCTTGTTATGAACACAAAATGGACTAAGCAGCCCCTAGATATCTAAACAGGTAGACCAACTGATTAAGAGAAATCAAAAGTATCCTGTGCAGCCTCAAACCCAGACTAAAGGCCAACATGCATGTCAGAAACCCATAAACCTTGGAAACAATCTTCATACTTTACATCCCAGGGGCCATTTCCTTGATCCCAAATATTTATACCTCCTCTTAAATACCCCGATACCTTATTCCCTCAATTTCCTTGCTATAGGATTTCTCACGATTTGCAGCTCATCCAAGTCTCCCTAACACCTGTTAAATATTACCTGTTTCCAGTTCAATGCTCTAAATACATCAAACCAGCCTCCTGTTTCAACTGTTCCCATACTTTCTCTATTCCCTGTCTTATAATGAAAAACAACCCCTTTATAGTTCACTATCACTATGTCAAACTGCCGGCTTTCCCTACCAGTCTCCTGTATCTCACTTCCTAGTTTTTCTCTTCCAGGCCTGCCTTATCCCTCTCACATTGCTATCCCATGCCTCCCACCAGGTCCTATCCTCTCAACTAGTCCCAACCTCAACATGACTCTAACGAGCCCTCAAGCCCCAGTTTTTCTTGTTAGATTTCTTGGCTACATATAGTCTATTCCTTTCTCATATTATATATACTCTATTTCTTTCTCCAACTTATCCTGGCCAAGATAATTTCACAAAACATAAATGTGTTAGGAAAACTACCCAAGGAACAAAGTGGATAGATTAGTGAAAGAGGGAAAAGAGACTGAATTAAATAAAAGGGAAGGCTATGTTTTTTAAAATCCCAGAATAAAGAAGTATCATACAAATGCCTGGGAAAATGTATTAAAGCAATTAAAAAAAAAGAGAGAGAGGTATGGCGAGATGTTGAATGGAAGGGAGATAGCCCAAACTCTAGAACAGCTTGGGAACCCCCTTCTCCCTCCCCCCCCCCTCCCAATTCTAAGGCTGGGTCCCTGCCCATCTCAGTAGTAGACTCAAGAAGAAATTGAAAACAAAAAAGGTAACCATACCAGGTAAAGGGAATGACAGATGAGGCTAAGTCTAGGAAAGGCAAGTGATAATGACAAAGAAATGAAAAACTATAGCACAAGAAATCAGTTTCTCTACCTTCCAAACCTCACTTTCACTTTTTCCAATACCAATCCCCCCCACTCTAAACCTAGGTCCTTCTTTGCCTCTCTACACCCCACCTAATTTTTCCCTTGCAGAAAGCTTCTGACCTGCAATTAATTCTTCAGTTTAACCATTCACCCACACTTCCATACCACCTCACACAATAATCCTCCCACTCCCTAGGGAGATTAAACCAGTAGCTGCTAAGCAAAGGGTATTAAGTCACAACGAACTGGAGAACTTGTAGAGAATGAGCCAAAAAAAGGAAAAGAAAAAAAACAAACCACAGCATCCAAAACATTAAAAGGAAGGACCGACCAGGGGCACATTAACGCACACATCACCAAAACCGGATGACTTTATAAACTAGGGATTCTTAAACTGGGGTCCATGGACTTTTGAAGGATTATAAATGCAAAAGTTACCCAAGCTAAAGGCAGAAAATAAAAGCTGCAAAGGAATGCAAAAGAGAATTTTTTCTATTGGGAAATTATCACGATGCTTAACTAATGAGATAAAAGGCAGTCCTGAAATCCAATATTAAGGTATCCAAGAAACGAAAGGCACAAACAGGATGGAAGGGGGAACGTTACGGAAAATGGACATATGTAAGCAAAGCAAGCACAGCACTAGGGCACTGTATAGCTGAGTTGTCACTATGAAACCCAGAAAGCCTAAAATATTAGCTCCGAGACCTAAGCCTACACACTGAAGATGGAAGGCGAAACAGACTCTCTTCGAATTTTTAATCCAAAAGATATCTTAGATAAACGTGACTGGAGACCAAGGCTCAGAAGCGTTATGTGCCAAATAATGCCTGGAAGAGTCCAGCGTTTTCTTCCTCCAACAGCCAGCCTCCTCCCTAACTTTAACACAACTTTTGGGGAGACGACGAAAAAAACCTAAATTTTATAAAAGCACATGGTCTGCCTTTACATACCCAGGTTGAGTATTTTTTTTAAAGGTTTGGGCCTTTTCTCTTCCTAATACTTTCAGGGCGAACAGTAAGGAGTCCGAACGATCTAAACCTCCGCGGCTTGTAGTTCAAGGCTTTCTCTGCACTGACTGAGAAGCCAAGGCTTATTTTCGGACTTGAGAGATGGGGGGGAGGGGGGGGGAGGGGGCTGCGTGGCGCCCCAAAGTCTGGGAGGCTCCTAGCCGACCACAGGCCCAGGAAGGATGGGGAAGCCCGAGTGGAGCGGGGAAATGATCCCGGGGCAGGCCCTGGTCGCCGCCGCCTCCTCCCCGCCAAGAAAGGGCAGCTACACAAGGAACCTCCTCGGCCGCACGCGTGGGGGAGACGATCAGCCGGGCCGCGCGCTCGCGCGCTCCCCCCTTCTCGCCGAGAGCGCGCACGCGCTTGAATGCAATCGGCGGCGCGCGCCGTTGCCATGGGGGAGGGGAAATAGGGTGAAAACCCGCGCGCGACAGAAACCGCGGGAAGGGGGAGGGGAGGCAGGCGAGCGAGGGCGTCCGCGCGAGCTAGGGGAGGCGAGCGCGCGTGCGCGCGGCGGCCTAGACCGTTCTCCGCGCGCTTTGGCCTCGAGCCGGGGCCGCCGCCCCTCCCCCACCCGGCTCGCGCGCTCCCTCACCCTCTCACCCGCCGCCGCCGCCGCCGCCCGCTGCTTCCTAGGGGAAGAGGTGCTACTGCTGCTCGAGCTCCTTAGTCTCTAGGGGCTTGAAGCCGCCGCCTCGCCGGTTCACCCGCCTCAGTCGACACTGACGCCTCCTCGCTTCCTCAAGGGCCGCAGCGGGCTCCGACTGCGCCACTCGCACCCCGCCTGGGCCGCGCTGCACGTCAGCACGACTAAGTGCGTCAGCACGCAGCCGCGGGCGTCGCAGTACCCGCCGGGCGCCGTAGTACGCACCGCGGCCTTGTGCGCAGGCGCCGAAACCCACCCGGAAGTGTAGTTTCTTAGGCCCGAGGGCTGTTCAATTATGTAGCCGAAGAACTACGAGTCCCGTTGGCCAGTGCGATGACGGGCTAGGGCGGGGCAACGTATTACGAAGGGGAGAAGAACACAGGGGCTAGTGCCCACATCGAGCGACGCTGGAACGTTCCACGGACTCCGAGTTCGACCGAGAGCATTCTGGGAGTTGTGGTTCTAGCGTAGCCCGGAACCCGTTTGTAGTTTCGGCCCTGGGCATGGCCGCCATTTTGTCTCCCCAAGTTGGAAGGCGATGGCCCTGAGTCCAGAGACCCTGCTGCTTCTCCGTGACCGCGGGCTTCCTGTGTCGCTGGCACTGGCGCTGCCGCACTCGGCCTTGCGACCGCACCTGGGGAAAATCCCCTCAGCCCTCAGCCAGCGGGCTCCCACGGGACCCCAGGGCCCAGCTCCAGGCCCAGGGCCTGAGGCGAAAGCCCATCCAGCTCGCAGCTTTCACGGTTGCAGAAAAGCAGAATCGGGTCCTCTATCCCGGGAAATAATTTTCTTTTAGCTCCAGGTGAAGCGGCTAGGCAACAATGTGATATACAAACAAAACAGGGCAAAAACGTTACAAACACCCCTAAATTTTTCCCACCTTTACAGAATGTCTCCTGTTAATTTAAGCACATTTTCCTTTTGAGCCTGAGATCCTGCCAGCCTCAGAGCAGAGTTGAAAGAAGCTGAACTGCTCAGCCAGGCCGACATGTGTCACCAGATGCCACTCACTTGCCGGTCAACCTTGGGCTCACACTCGGGGATCTTGATCCTTGGGGTGAGAGGCTGCCTCGCACCTTCAACAATACCCAGCACATGGTAGCTATTTCATGACAGCCGTTTTGAATTGGAGGAGTTGTATTTGGTATTGCTAAGCATTCCTGTTAACCTGCCTTTGTAAGGATAGACTCACCTCAGACACTAGAACTGGGGGACCCTCCGTTTTCTGCAGGAGCTTACAGGGCCCAAGAGCTGGTGTACCTGCCTCCTTGAATCCGGGCGCCTCGCATACAGCTTCCATGAGCTGGACCCACCAATGGAATACCTTGTGGCAAAGTTCACTACCCCCAGGCTGATAATGACAAAAGCCCCAAATTAGGAGTATGGAAAAAGGAAAAACTATTCAAGAGAATAGTTTGCAAACTCAGGAAATGAAGCCTCGGGTGGAAACCTAAAGTACACCCCTAGAGACAAAGTGGGGTGTACTTTGGGTTTCTACAAGAGGCATATATATATATATATATATATATATATATATATATATATATATATATATATATGCTAGTAGCCCGGTGCACAAAATTCATGCACATTAAAAGGAAATTAATTAGCGAAAATATTTTAATATTGCTATTTGCCCTTTCTCTATAATAGAAGTGTGAGAGATGAAAGGAAATTAGTAAAATGTATATGAAAATAATATATAAATGCATTAATAAATAACAGTAACAAAAGGATATAACAACAACAGAGGCATGATATAAAAATGACAAAAACATGATATGAAAACAACAAAAACATGATATAAAAACAACAGTGGCCCTAACCAGTTTGGCTCAGTGGATAGAGCGTCGGCCTGTGGACTGAAGGGTCCCAGGTTCGATTCCGGTCAAGGGCATGTGCCTGGGTTGCGGGCACATCCCCAATAGGAGATGTGCAGGAGACAGCTGATTGATGTTTCTCTCTCATCAATGTTTCTAACTCTCTATCCCTCTCCCTTCCTCTCTGTAAAAAAATCAATAAAATATATTTTTAAAAAAACAACAGTGATGCAAACAATGACTGATAAAGTGATTAAACTTATTCTAATATCTCCCTGTACACCACATTGAGTGAAAACACTTTCAGAGTGCTTGACTAATTTCCCTTGTGCTGAAATATTTAGAACTTTAACTTTAATGTCACATGCTCTTCGAACTCGAGAGAAAGCAACATATAACTGAACATGTGTGAAAAAGGTTCAGGTAGGAATATGCCTACTCTGTCTAGAGTTTGTCCTTGTGATTTATTAATAGTCATCACAAATGCTGGCATCACGGGGAACTGTCATTGAATCAATTTAAATGGGAGGCCAGTGTCAGATGGGGACAAATCAATTCTTGAAATCAGAACAACCTCTTTCTCTGCAGATCCTGTTAATACTTCAGCTTTGATAATGTTAGGTGACAATCTTTTGATAATAAATCTGGTACCATTACAAAGACCCCATTTACTATTAAGATTTCTCAATAGCATGATGATTGCACCCACTTTCAATTTTAATTTATGACACGGCATTCCCAATGGAGTAATACTATTAAGAAATTCGATGGGAAATTTTTCCTTTTCAGCATCATCTGTGGAATCAATGGAATCGTCACTCAAATATGTGTGAACATCTCCATCGAGTATATCCAAAATTTCTTCATTTACTTTTTGAATGTGCTCATTTTTTGGACAAAGAATTGCACGTTCAGATATAGTTTTAATATTATCTATAGATATAGTATTTCCAAAGGTAGCTTCAATAATAGATCCATTACAAATCATTTCACAGGGGATTTCAATAATATCCATTCCTAAATGAAAACTGCTATCAAATTTGCCATCTCCAAGTTTTACTAACCATCCACTATAAGCAGAATCCTCTGATCTCATATTTGTTGTAAGAGACAACTTTCTGAAACATCCCCAAACACTGCAGTACTTTAAACTTGTACTATGGCCGATCACATAGCATGTGGTACAATATTGAGACTTTGTTGAAAATCCCCTCCAAGAAGGAGAACTTTCCCACCAAATATAACATTTAAATTTCTCTTAGTGCCAAAACCGGTTTGGCTCAGTGGATAGAGCGTCGGCCTGCGGACTGAAAGGTCCCAGGTTTGATTCCGGTCAAGGGCATGTACCTGGGTTGTGGGCACATCCCCAGTGGGAGATGTGCAGGAGGCAGCTGATTGATGTTTTTTGCTCATCGATGTTTCTAACTCTCTATCTCTCTCCCTTCCTCTCTGTAAAAAATCAATAAAATATATTTTTAAAAAAATATTTCTCTTAGTAATCTGTCTATGGCGTTTATAGCATGACTGGATGCCATGGTGCATTCATTAATAATGAGAAGTTGGGCCTTTTTAATAGTTTTAGCAACTTCACTGTTTATATCGAGTCTAGAAATTGAAGTTTCATTTAGTGGAATGGGTAATTTATATTGGGAATGAAAGGCCCTTCCACTGAAAAGTAAATGTGCAGCAATTCCTGTAGACTCTGTGGGTAAAACAGTACCACCACGACCTCTAATATAATGTATTAAAACTTTATAAAGATATGCCTCCACGCTCCGAGGGCCGGTTCCTGCCTCAAACCTCGCCCTCCTGGGAAACAGCTCAGGGAAGGTGCAGCCGTTTCCAAGACAACCTCTGCAGGACTGACTTCCTTCCAGTTGGTCAAGCCTCTGGTTGTGATGTTACACCCAGGGTTTTTATATAAATAGAAAAGGTGTATAGCCTATATAATAAAATGATAATATGCAAATTGACCCCCAATCATGCCATCACAAGATGGCTGCGCCCACAGAGGAGGCAGGGTTCCCATAACAGAAGATGGCTGTGCCCACAGCAGAGGCGGGGTTCCTATAACGAGCCATAACAAGTGATCAGCAGGAACCTGAGGCTGTGTGGCGCTGGGCTGGGGTGTGGGACCTGAGGCCACGCTCCTGGCACAGCAGGGTTTGACGTGGGACCTGAGGCCACGCCTCCCACCTGTTGGGGCTTGAACGGGAACCTCAGGCCATGCCCCCCGCCCCGGTGCTGGGCTGGGGGACCTGAGGCTGCACCCCCCTGCCCAGCAGGGCTTGACATGGGTGGTGCCAGCTGGGTCTGGATCTCACCCAATGGGGGTGGGGCCGGCTGGGTCTGGGTCTCACATGATTTCGATATGCATGCGGGTGGGTGGGGACTTGAGTCTGGGTCTCACGGCGTGCCCCAGACTCTGACAGGAGGTAGATTTTCATATACATTTTATTAATTTTCTTTCATCTCTGACACTTCTATTATAGAGAAAGGGCAAATAGCAATATTAAAATGTTTCCTCTAATTAATTCCCTTTTAAGGTGCACAAATTTCATGCACCAGGCCACTAGTGGGTGTGTGTGTGTGTAATATTTTAAATTGATTTTAGAGAGAGAAAGGGAGGAGAGAGAGATGAAAAAATCAATGAGAAAGAAATATGAATCTGGCATGCCCCCTAGTGGTGATACAGTCTGTAACCCAGCTTGTGCCCTGACCTGGAATGGAACCTGCGATGGTGCTCAACCAACTGAGCGCACCCCCTGTGTGGAGAGGCTGCTTTTTATACATTTTATTTAATTTATTGATTTTTAGAGAGAGGAAGGGGGGAGAGAAAAACATCCATTATTGTTCCACTTATTTATGCATTCATTGGTTGATACTTATATGTTCCCTGACTAGAGATCAAACCACATCTTGACATGTTGGGTCATGCTCTAACCAACTGAGCTCCATAGTCCACTTTTAAAAAATATATATATTTTATTGATTTTTTTTTTTTTTTTTTTTTTTTTTTTTTTTTACAGAGAGGAAGGAAGAGGGATAGAGAGTTAGAAACATCAATGAGAGAGAAACATCAATCAGCTGCCTCCTGCACACCCCTTACTGGGGATGTGCCCACACCAAGGTACATGCTCTTGACCGGAATCGAACCTGGGACCCTTCAGTCCGCAGGCCTACATGCCAAACCGATTAGGACCATAGTCCACTTTTTATAGAGAAAGTGGACTCCTGCCCTGTTCCCTGATTGGCCATTTTATGAAAATGAGGAGTTCAAATTTGCATAGTCTGACTGGTCCAAATAGCACTCTCTGGATTGGTTAGAATCACAT